CTATAGGTTATGGAAAAAATATATAGTGTCAATTGAAAAAATTAGTGGCAGTGCAGTGTTAGGCAATGAAACTTGTTGTCCTTGCAAAAGTGATTCAAATCAGAGAGAAGTAGGATTTCCACTCCATAAGAGATTTAAAAAAAATAAGTAAAATTTTTAATTCTTATACTCAAACTTTTTACCAGTTCTTTAAAGACAATTTTGCATGCAGAAATTGAAATCCTTCATAAGCTTCCAAATAGCTTTAACAAGAAGAGTAGTTTTGTAAAGGGACAGTCAGACATAAAATCAACATAGAGGAACTATTTGTTTCATTAACAAAAACTTTTAAAAACACACTAGACAAATTTCTAGTACTTTTTTTTTAATATTAATTTTAACGTTTGTAAAATAGAAAGCCGTAGCAAAATATAAGATAAGAAAATATTACAATTTAATTTTATAAAATGAATTTCATCTGATACCAATATAAATACATACTAATTCGGAGACTTTGATTGAAAAGGAAAATAAATACTAATAGTAGTATAAATTTGTTGATTGATTTATAGTAAAAATGTCAGTTGTAGATATTTTGAAAATTTAGTTGCTCTCACAAGGAACCGGTAACTGAAAGATATTACTAGTCATTACATTTTCACTCTTCCGCTTATATGTGTATCAATCACAAGATTTTTTAAAAACAAAGTTAATAAAGTAAATTAAACAAAAATTTACAGCATAGAGAGTGTGTAATGTCACAATTATGATGAAATATGCTACATTGTGACAAAACCAAAACATGAAACATAAACAGCATAATATCCCTTACTGATGGTCAGGGGATAATATTTTGGCGGTCTGAATAAAATTTTAGAAGTTTCGGATCAATGTACCACTGCTAATTTCAAGCCTTGAATGTTATTAAGAAAGAAGAATTACCTGATTAATATCTTTTCAGATTGTAGAGAAACACAGGAATACTATTTCACATCCTAATTGGAGCATTTAATTCAAGGATTTAATTTTGACTAGGCATCTCTCATTTGGGAGGACAGTTTCTCTTTTCTGTTAAAGTTCTTTCAAAAAAAGAAAAATATAAACAAAGATTCTTTAAAACTTTGGAAACATTGGTTTTCTTACGTAACATTGAGATTTTTTTCAACTAAAGTAGGATACGGTAAAACTGAATTATTATTATTTTATTTAATTTATGCTGTTTCTAAATTATAATAACAATTGCAATGATTTCATGAAATATGTATAATTGGAGGAAAAGGAATGTGAGTGACCTATGCTAGTTATATTTTTCATGAGAAAATGAAAATTCTTTTATTCAATTATAATTTGAACCTCCAAAGATAGATAGTATTACTTTAAATGTCAGTGATATGCTCTGATTTTAAACATGAAAACTCTGATCACATTATAATACTTGCAAAATGAATCAAAACAGAATAAAAAATCTATTAACACATTGCCAGACACTTTAAATTTGACAACCATGCTCAGAAACTAGGACAGGGCGATATAAGAAATTTTATATTGTGATGCATCATCAGTTTTGCATCGCGATATAGTATTTTTGAAATTCATTTGCTTATAAGGCGCAGAAAGTCGGATTTCTATCAAAACTTCATACTCAGATTGATTTAAATCAATTTATGAATTTGATGTATATGTTTTGCTTAAGAAAGATATTAATGTTATACTTTCTAAAAATGATCGCGCAAATAACGAAAGATTTCTTAGTTTAAAAATAAATAATAAAAAAATGAATAAAATTGAAATTTACCAATGTATTTACCTAACAATATAGAAAGAAAATTTAAAAAATAAGTTCGTTGAAAATTATTTGTATGCTTAAAACAAAGTGCTAAATAGATTAAACAAAAAAAAAATACTTTTAAAACAACACTATTTTTTATCATTATTATTTCACATAAATAATAAAGTTAAATTGAATAATTACCAAATTCTGAACGAAAAAACAAAGTAAGGTTTAATTTCTTAAAAATAAAAACAAAAGAATTATGATATTCAATAATATATTCAACTGACAATATTGACAGAAAATTAAAAAACATGATTACTCTTTAATAAAACGAAGTGCTAAATGATTTTAAAAAAAGAAGTCGCAATCGCAAACATTCTTAATTTTTTTGAATAAACAAAGTTAGAGGAAAAATAAGTTTTGTTATAGTTTCATTTATAAAAATGAAAACAACTAAAGATTTATAAATTTAAAATCAGTAATAAAAACCCATTAAATTATTATTTTATCCGAAAAGTTATTAAAAAATTAAAATAAAGTTAAAAATAGCCTTTTTAATTTAATTCTTTATGGGCACCTTAAATTAGATTTCCGTTTGTAATAAATTCAATAATGTAAAATAATACTTAAACATATAATATCAAAATTAATTTTCACATTTAAAAATAAAAAAGAAAGTTTTGTTTCAAAAAAGAATTTACCTAATTAATTAAGAAACACTTCTTTATATATTCTTTTCAATAATAGATTACGTTCAGAACAAGGTAACGAAGTCAGTTCCACTTAAAATAATCTACAAGAAACGATATCAAGTCGCGACAAAGAAAAGAAAAAAAAACTAAGGGGTGCGGAAACGAACATGCGAGATCACGATATATGTTCTCAAAATTGATTCTACCGCTCATCAATCAAGGCCGTTTCAATATAACGATACGAACATCGTCTTCCCCAGCGCGAGTTGGCATCCGAACGTAAGAGATCCTTGCGTGTCTTGTATCGCTATATCGTACGTCTTCTTTACTCGAAGGCTTAAATCAGATTTCTGATGCATCGCCTGGAACGAAAGTCGCTGTATCGGCCTCTTAACGCCTGCAATGATCGGTTTAACGCCTGCCGATACAGGCGTTAAACCGATGTATCGATTTATAGCCCAGTCCTATCAGAAACATATTTTTTTATCCTTGAATTTTTTAGTACAGCAATATGAAATTGAGCATCAACCTTATGTTTTGAAATTGAAAATTATCATGTTTTGTTAGTTTTTTCATGAAAACTCTCGATGGTTGGAAACGTCATTTGATCACCCCATTTTTTCCCCCTCTGCACAAACAAACCAATAGATATCTGAAACTCTACATTTTTTTTTTTTAATGTATTACTGAAAAACTAACAAATAAATGCACTGGAACATTTGATACTAAGGATGTTCTTTTCTTTATTAATTAAAATATGCAAGACCAAGATGTCTAAATCTTTTGTGACCTTCATTCCACAATCGATTATCTTCAAGAATTTTTCAGATAATTTTTTTAAGATATAATTTCTCCTACCAATCTGATGGTGAGAAATTGGAATTAGTTTTTAAAAGGAAGTGATAATCAATGGATACACTATAAGAAATTTTTTCCTTGAGATGGTAACACTATAATGATGGCTATAGCATAAAGTGACCACATTTTCATTGAGACAAAGCGGGACAAATGGGATGAAATGAGAATTACAATTTAGTTATATATATTTTATTGTATGCATTCATATACTTGTACAAAAATGTATTTATTATTAATTATTGGTAACTATTAAAATATTTGCAAAAAATAATAATTTGAACATCATGATTTTTAATCAAATTAAATTATTTAAAAAAAATTATGATTTTCTTTCACGGTCATATTTTTGATCTGAGTGAATACTTAGCAATAGATTCGGATCATTTATTAAAATGCCGTGAAATATTTCCCATGAATTGGTCAAAGGGCATTATTCAAAAATCTTTTGTGCCTCTTTGCCGCTAGATGTTTAGTAATATCGTTTTTTCCACCATGTGAGACCAAAAATTCAGCATTGCATTTATCACACCGTACCATACAGTCTATTTTGGTTTTCTTAATAAATGGAAATTCTCGGCTTAGCTCTTCATTAAACTTGCATTCTCTTTTTTTACTCATCTTTTATTCTGTGGGTCAATACTAGAAACAAATAAAAAATTTACTACAAAGGCTAAAAGAGAGTATTAAATTTTACCTTATTGACCGTTACGTTGTGGCGACTATTGCTCTACCACTATCTTCGTCAATCAAATAATGAGTCAAACCGAACGTCAAATTGAAAACAACAAACTGCCCTGTCTAACGGCAGTCCGCACTTATCTCAATTAAGCTGAGACGTAAGGACAGTGATCGAACACCATCGAGTAAATCTAACTCGGTACATTGCCTAATTTAGTTTACTCTGCATGCATTTTATGTTTTTTTAAATGTATTTTCAGGGGTCTGTCCAGGCCGAATTTACTACCGTTTAGCGGTACCTTCACAAATTCAATTATAGGTAAAACGGTAGTTTCACAAATTCAACTTTAGGAAAAACGGTAGTTTCACAAAATACTTTTTCTTAAAATTTTATTTTTGTATCCCTTAAGAAACGATAAATCTATATTTTAACCATGTTTTTCTATTGATTTTTTAATTTTTCACAAATTATGTCTAAATTTTCACAAAATAGGTACCTTTTACAAAAACCTAGACAAACCCCTGATTTTTTAATTCTTTATATTCACCATAATACTTTATAAATAGGTAATATATTTTTACAGTACATTTAAAATAAGAAATGCAGATATTTTCTAAAAAGTGGGACATTTTAAAAAATCGGTGGGTTGCGGGACAATCCACCAAAAAGCGGGACTGTCCCGCCAAAATCGGGACGTGTGGTCACTTTACTATAGCAGTGATTTGCTTACTTATTACCAAAAATTCTACAGCTATAGATTTTCAAGAATTTTTTAGATAATTTTTAAGATATAATTTCTCCTACGAATCTCATGTTGAGAAATAGGAATTAGGTTTTAAAAAGAAGTGATAATTAATTTAACGGATACACTAAGAGAGATTTTTTGATTGCGATGATACACTATAATGATGGCTATAGCAGTGATTTGCCAACTTATTACCAAAAATTCTACAGCTATAGCCGTCATTTGCAGCAAATCATGTTAAACTTTCAAGAATGAAAAACAATAAATACAATATAGTATTTTTTTTTCTTTTTGAATTTATTTGTAAACTCTAGTAACAAAGTATAAGAGAACTTGTCATTATATTAATGAGCAAAATACTTTTATACACATTCAAATATTACACATCCATTCCCTGCTGAAATTTAGCAAAGTTCTTTTGCGTGAAATTTTGAGGAACTATTTTAGCTACTTTTCTGGATTCTTTTGCAAAAGTTTTTGTACACATCATTTCAGTCCAAGAAGTTGGAATCATTTCTGCACCTGCTTCACTTAAAGCTAACGAGACACCTAACTCATCTTCAGCAGTTGTTAGATTGTAAGAATGCATAGCTCCTAAGGAACTCACTTTGGCTAGAATAATGTCTCCTGGTCTATAACATTTGTACATTTCAACTTTATCACGTTCCTTCATTCTAACCTCTTCTTTACGCAAGATACCACGAAACGGTTCAGGTAAAACAGTATCCTCAATACAATGAATAGAACATTTGGCATACCTTCTTCGAATGTTTGTCACTTTGGCGGTGATTATATCACCGACTCCTGGAACGATGCTTCTTTCAAAACCTTTATTTACCTCGACGATAATTTCTTTATCGTCATTTTTGAAATCAAGAAATCCAGTTAAACTAGAATAAATGCTATCACCTCGAAGGTAGGTACCACCTCCTACGGTGTAGTTTTCGGTAGAAGGACATAAATATTGACCTGGAACTACGAGTGAGCCAGAACTTAAAGTAGGCATGATTACAAGTTTAGAAGGAAAAAAAATGCTTTTCCAGATTTTGATGATTTCTGAATATAATCAATCAGAAGAAATATAATAGTTCATACAAATTATGATTAACTCATGGCATAATTCAGCATTCAAAATATACTTAAGTGTTGTGTTAGGAGTCGATAATAAACAAATTTCTTTTGCAAACTAAATATAGTTGCTTGAAGCTCTATGCGATATATGTATTTGCCATAAAATATTAACTTTATTGCGTCAATAAAACTGGCAACAAAATAAATTGATTTGTTTACGTTTTTGGCAGTCAGGCAGGGCACCGCGAAAATTTGATATCATTTAAACATAAGAATGGTAATTTCATATTATAATTCAAAGCTGGCATGGTTAAGTATAAAGCAAAGTTTGCTTTACATACCTCTCACACAAATTTCACCATAATTTTTAATGTTATGTTTTCAGATAAACAAATTCGCTCTTTCCATTTCCAAATAATTAGAAAAATAATAAAGCAAAGTCTCTACCTAAACTACTGAATCTATTAGGGATCAATAAATTCTGACAATAATTGCTATTTAAAAGTTTTTTTTGTACTCATTTTAATTATAAAATCAAAAATTTATGATTAAGTTGATGAAAAATTTATTGTATATAGTCAATAACTTTCTTTACTTTTTTATGACTATTTATTTATTTTTGCAATGAAATGGTTATTAAGATTTTTCAAAATCATTTTATTTGAAAATAGAGCATATATTATTTCACATACAAACTTTCCGTTGTGGTTTCTTAAATATTTTTTTTTTATGGGGAATTGTAAACAATGTTACTTGAATAACGTATATAAATATATTTATACTTTCGATTTTTTGACTTAATTTCTATTTATTTAGATCCATTATGAAGAAACTAACTCAAGAGTGGAAAATAAAAAAGCGAGTAATAAAGAATAAAAGTTTTAAAGAGCAGATTGACTTGTCATTAACAAACTCTGAGAGCATAATACTTGTTGCACAAAAGAGACCATCTCTAATGAAATCTGTATCGGATAAACCGATCATGTCTTCTTCCGACGAAGAAACCTTCATTCGTCGTTCTCAAAGGTAAAATTATCCAAATCAGAATTAAGACTAAACTGGATATTTAACCTTAAACATGTATTATTATTTTATCAATATTTAGTTTAGTTATTTTTTTTATCAGTATTTGCAAACAGTAAATGTGTAATATGAATTTTTAAAACCAAAAGCACAAGAGTATTTGTTATAAAAATTTGATTCTTTATTCAAATGATCAAAATTTATCATCTAATACTGTACTAACCAGTTTCTTCCAAATATACCTAATAAATATACTTTTGATTTTATTTTCAGACTTAAACAAAAATATGACAGCCGAAAACAGAAAATTTCAACGGTTGATCGAGTATGTTGTTGATTCCTTATTGTATTGATATTTTTTTAATAAAAAAAAAGTTTGATAAATAAGTAAATTCTTTCCTTCTGTATTGGCACTTATTTGCTTCGACTATCATTGTCAAAACACCAAAGAATTTTTGGTTTCTGTGCTTGCAAATTTTTTTAAAATAAATATGTTGTGGTTTGTCCTTGGGTAGCTACCTCTCCTGTGATTATTATTTTTAAGTTTCTTACATGCCTCTGCCCTGTTGTCACAAATATCTGGTGCAGGTATCAATATGAAACTTTTTTCATTTCATTTGCTGTAATATCTTTATTTCAGCTACATCTTAGAATATTTCTGTATAATTTCTTTCTTTCTATTTAAGTTACTTATTTTATTTATTTTTTTGTATGTTTTTGTTTTAAAAAATGCTTGAAGTTTCTCTTTCCTTTTACACTTTTTATAATAAAAACAAAATATAAGTAAATACTTCAACTAGTTTTTTGTTCACCAGTTTTCAAGTTATTCTTTTTTTGTGAAATTTCTTTAGTAATATTAAAGCCATCGGAGTTTCTCTTTAATATTTTCTCAAATATATTCTCAAACTGTTTAGATACTATAGCTATTAAATTAGTTATATTTGTTTTAGAACTACAATAAACCCCTATTTATACCTCCTGCAGGAGATCATTATGAATCAACATATGAGATGACATATGACTAGAAATTATGCAAATTAATAGAAATTCATCCTAAATATAATAAGACTGATAGTGTAGTAGGATATTTAATATTATTGATACAGAAAACAATATCAGTAAATGTAAATAAAATTGAAAATAAAAAGTTTGTTACAAATGTAAAAAAAATCATATCTTTATTTCTTGACAACATAAATGTTTACTATTCTTTCGTGAAGATGGATGGTAGACATTATAGTAAAATATATCTATATTTCTTGAGGTGGATTCTTTTTCAGAACCTTACTTAGAATTTTTTGAATCCAAGATAATGTACTTAAAAACTATTTAAAAAAAAACATTATTTAACTAATATATATATNATATATATATATATATATATATATACGTGTGTGTGTATTAGTGAACTTTTTTAACATTGCATAGATTAAGAATTAACTGGAGTGAAAAAGAATGTAAAAATAAAGAGCAAATAAGCGGTATTTTGTTGTATTAAAAAAGCTTGTTTCTTATTTATAAATTCTAATTAAAGTGATCAGAATTTTTTTTTACTATGAAACTCTTAATAACGATACAGTGTTTTCATCGCAGAAAAAAAATGGGTGAGAATTTCTCAACCTTTCTCAAACACAGGGTGAGATATCTAAAAATTAAAAAAAAAAAAAAAAAAACAAAGAGACTTGAAAAAAAAATCATTTCTTTAATTATAATACATTTTTAACATCTTCTAATTTTTAAGGATTGAATATTTTTGCTGCATCATCATATGCAAAATGTTCTACATCTACTTTTTCATCAGCTATTCTCATTAGGTTACTCAAATGAGCATCNCTACCCACATTTGTTTCATTTTCATTTGTCCGTTTCGGAGTAGAAGATATTGCCTTTACAAGGTATTTGTCCATCTTACATTAATGCGCAAAAGGTTTAAACTTCTTACACGGAGAAACTTTACCTACGGTAAACACAAAACTGCAGAGAAATGCGTTCTGAAAGAGGTTCCGAGGGATGGTGTTCTTAAAGGTTCTGAACAATACTGGTAAATAGCGAAGCTAGATAATGGGGCAGATGTTGAAAATAATAAAAGATCCAGGAAGAAAAGTGAAACGGATTTCATTCTAAATGGCGCAATGAGAAATTTTTTTCAAAATGCAAGAAATTAGCGAATTTTGAAATTGGTTTATAGAATGCGCGAATTTCTCGCGGTAATAATTTTTTAATATGAGAAAAGAAAAAAATATGCGAGATTCTCGCGCTGTAGTGAAAACACTGCGATAGTATGTGAAACTGAGAAGTATTAAATGTTAGCTCAGTCGAATGTCTCAAAGTCTTTATTCGTTAAAGAGCTTCTTTTTTTTTCTTTTACTAATTAGACAATAAAAGGGATGGACTTTTTAATGCAGTATTGTCATAAAATGAACTAACATTTTCGAATGAATTTAATAGAGTTGTGAAGATTTACTATGTGTGTATAAAATGATTTGTTGTAATATTTTCATGAGTTTTGCAATATATTTTAATATCAGAAAACTCTCACCAGGTCGAATCGTTTACAAAAGATTCTGTGCAAGAAGATGCAAATATGTCTACATTGGATGGTATGTTATAATTTTGAAGCTGCAACAATTTTTATAGAACAGTATTAAATTTTTAAAAATTTTTACTATTTAGATTGTTGTTATTGAATAATAAATTTTTGTAAAAATATTAATTTCTAAATTTTTATAATTTAGCAACAAACGTGTATTGTTTTACTGTTTCTTATGGTTATATTTCGTAAGAAACTGATTTTGGGAAAAATATTCGTGTGGTAATAATTGAGAAAATCAATTATATTAAGAGCAAAATTTTTTTTATATTAACCGTTAGTATAAATTGATTTTGAGATGCAAAACATATTGCTTCTTTTCCTGAACAAACACAAGTCAATTTTTGCTGTCAAATATTTTAAATGTGTCAAAAAATTTATTTTTGGAGAAAAAAATCCATGCATTCTTTTTTTTATTTCATTAGAGGTTTTTGATATTTAATTTTTTTAACAAACATTTGAATAAGATTTTTAAAATAAATAAAAAACATAATTCCCTCTATCTAAAAATCAAATTACCATGTGAAATCATTCACTAAAAAATAATAGTATTTTTAAATTAAGTTTAAATTGTACTACAGGTTTGCATAAATTATTCAAATAATGTCTAAAATAATTAAGTTTCTGTGTATTTAAACATTAATCTATTTTTTCCATTTCTTTTAAAAAATGTTATTAAAAATTGTGCCCTAATTGACCTTATAGAAAAAACAAAAAATTTATGCAATATATCTTATTTCATGTCACCAGGCATATAGTTACGAAATATTTTTCAATTTAGAAAATTACTGCAATCTGTCGAAATGGAGACTGCCAATTACTATTGTGGAGGCTTATAAACAGAAGAATATTGAAACAATGTTTCAATGGCAGTATGAGTGTTTATCTATGAAAGGAGTATTAAATGGCAAAAATCTAGTGTTTTCTGCTCCTACCAGTGCTGGGAAAACATTAGTTGCTGAAATTTTGATGCTTAAAAACGTTACAGAAACTAAAAAGAAAGCTATAATGATTCTGCCTTTTGTTTCTGTTGTAAGAGAAAAAGTTCATTATTTCCAGGTAAATTTATTATTATTTTTTTAATTATTCATTTGATTTTAACAATATGTTATAAGTTATAAAAATGTGTCTTCTTTTCTGTCTGCCTTCAAAACTATTCAAAATTTAAAGAATAATTTTTTTTTGAAAAATATATATTTTGCTACAGTCTGTTTAGTAAACCAGTTAATTTTTTGTCATAAAGTTTGAAAGTAGATCCAAAGTTCATCAAAAGATGGCACTTTGAATTGAAATTGGAAAGAAAAAAAACTATAAAATTACATGTTTAAGATAACTATCATATTTAGTAACAATGAAGTGCAGCCAAAAACAAAACTTACAGATGCTCATGTAAGTATTTCATTTGGAACTGTCTGAATAAACTATTAAAACTATGTTTTTTTAAATGTGTGGCAAAAACATAGTTTTAATGGCTTTTTCAATTGGTCTTGAATGGAAATGTGTGTCTTATTTTTTAAATTTAATGAGAAAAATTAACTTGTTTCCTAAAAAGAATGCTGTAACCATATGTTTCTATTACCTTCCATTTGTTTAATTGATTTTTCAGATTGTTCGCCATTTTCGAGACACTGGTGTGTGTATATATATATATATATATTGGTTAAGCTATACAACAAGTTTGCCGGGCTATTCTTCAGAGACTTGAAAAATTAACTCAGCAGTTGGAAAATCTTGGATATATATTTTTTTTAAAATTTAAAATTAAAGCTCTGAACTCTGAAAATCAGTAAGTTTAACGTGACCATTGTCAGCTTAGTGCTTCATTAATTACGATTCATTTATTTTTATAATGTAGTTTTTGCTATTCTGCTTTTTTATCCTTGTGCTAATGTAATTTTTTTTATTTTAGTCACATGAGATAAATAATAAGCAAATATTTATTTTTGCGTGGGACTGTAGTTTTGTCCTTGGCATGGCCTATATACACATATTACTGTGGACTGAAATCTTCTTAAAATACTCTTGAAAAGTCGAGAAATTTTATTAGTTTATTTAATTAGCAATCATGGTTCATGAAAAAAAATGAACCATGAACCTTACAAAGACACCTAAAAATATTGTGAAAGCCTTAATTATTGAAAATGTATTATATACATAGAAATAGTTAAGTACATTGGACACCTTATTTTTTCTCTTAATTGCTCAAATGATTTTCTATTTCATTGTAAATACATATTCATATACATTTAGATTATTTACTCCATTCAAATAATGCTTTATCTGCCTGATGTATTTTTGTAGAATTAAATTTTTTGTTTATTTTCTTTGAAGAAGTTTATGCCATATAGCCGTTTCAGCATTAAAATTTTAAGTTTTATATTTCCACCATGTAAAAGTACTTTTGTTTTTTTAAATATGTCATACTTGAAAACTGTTTCTTTAGTATAAAATTGTGTCTAAAGAAAATCTACGATTGATTTTAAGTGAATCATTCATGTACTGCTTTTTAGATATTTATTTTTCATTTATTTGATTATTATTTATTTAATTAATATCTTTAGGATATGTTTCAAAATGCTGGCATTGTTGTTGACGGTTATATGGGTGCTCACAATCCTCCCGGTGGTTTTAAATCAGTGGATATTGCAATTTGTACCATTGAAAAAGCTAACAATCTTGTTAACAGACTTATGGAAGAAAAGCGTTTGAATGAACTCGGTATTGTATTCTTCGATTATAATATTTTATGTATTGGCAGATTTATATGTTTGTATCTGTAATTATAATGTTAAATTGTCCAGAACAGTATTAAATATGTTTTAAGTATGAAATTTTTTTCAATATTGTTATTGTATATTGTTATTAATATGTTATTTGAAATGCATTATAAGCATGCAAATACGAATTATAAGCAAGAAGGCATTATAAGCTTGCATATTATTTGTACACTTGAAAGGTACTTGAAATTTTTGCAATTAAGTTTTTCAAACTCTCAAAATATTTTGAATTGATGAATGAATAGGGTTTCATCTTTTATTTATTGTTTTTATTTTTCCTGTTTTATTGTAACAGTAGAAAAAATCAAGCTATTTTACAAGATTAATTTAACACTTTCACAATGGGGATTGTGAATGTATGCTTATTGTTGAGGTGGTCAGTCTCTTTAACACCTACCTAAGGCCAAAGTTTTTTTTTTTTTTTTTTTAAGTCTAAATCTATGAAATTATCAAAATATGAAGAGATTCTTGATTAATGTGGGTAAACAACATATGCTGTATACGTATTTTTGATTTTCATACTGTATTTACTCAATTTTTTTCTTGTATAAATATATTTTTACGCCTAAGGCCAGAGTTTTACAGGCAACTTAATAGGTTTTGATCACCTAAATCGGTTGCTTAAAATTCTTTTTTTGTTTGAAAACAGGGATCGACATACAGCCCTTTATTATAATCCTTGCACTTGAAATAACTCATTTACAGTTTTGGAGGATTTTTGTGGGAATGTGAACAAACGAGGCATCATTATCTAACTTTTTTTTAAATCTACAAAATCTAACTATCAATTGAAAACTGGACTTCAAATGTTCTCATAAAGCTCATGATACGAAAAAATTTCTTTCCTCTTATATTTATAAAGTTAAAAACTGCAGTGTTTTGTTACCTGATGAAAAACTTCATTTGCTTCAAAAACATTCAAATTGGAAATAACAATCAAAGCATGTTTCAAGTGCTGAAAATAAAAAAGATGTTCATTTTCAAGACTTGATAGGTGGCATGAATGAAAAAAAAAGTGATTTGAAATGTGAAACATAAAGTTGCCAATGGGAAATGGAAAATAAAAGTGGGAAACAAAACTAGAAATCCAAACGTCATCAATGAAGAAAAAAGAGAAAAAACAAAACTAGAAAAAAACCATAGGGGCTAACCATAGGGGCACTGCAAATCGGGGTAAAATGCATTTATGTGCAATATGGAAAGGTAGTGAGAACATAACCTTGATAACAAGGGAATCAACATTTATATGAATAAAACAAGATTAGAGCATCAAGATAAATAATCCAATAGCTTTGACTTAAGTTACAGCATTGTAAAAGTTACTGCATATATTGTTTCGGCAATGAAGTATTGTTCAATGATTTTAAGCATTTGTGTTTCAAAATATCTATTAAAGATTTAAAATATAAAATTTAAAAATTATGATTTTTTTTTTTAATGACAGAATTTCTGTCCGCTATTCTTTACTTTACAACCAGGTGTCTGTTCATTGCAAATTTACTATCGTTTAGTGGCCCCTTCACAAAGTTCTAAAATTCTCCTCTCCGTCTCCTAAATTGTTTTTTTGTATCCTCATATAAAACGATGAATCCCGGGTCAATTATGCATTTCGATTTATAATGGAACCCTCCTGCAGATTGCTATTACGACGTAATAGAAAAATTCGCTTCCCAACCGGTTTGTAAGAAGAGCGCTTTTCCTCCTCATTCATGGCAGATAGCATGCCGAGATCCCGAAACGCCAGCTGCTCATTCCTTAATTGAGGTGGAAGAAAGGGCGGTATTACTATGCAAACCCTGTTCTCATTGCAATCTATGGAAAAGATGAGCTTTTCCACTAGCTATCTTCTGCAAATAGGTAACACATATTTTGTCAGATAGTGCGATGTGGTATGCCTAACTGGTCGCTTACGTCATATCAAAATGGGCTTTTTTTCGCAGTTTTTTAAAATGAAACGATGATGCTCTCCCTCTATAAACTTTACAGTTTAAATTCGGACATTATTCTAAGCATTCAAACATTATCTTAAATATTATTGTAAATTCATTCTAACAGACCTTTATTTTTTTTCTCTGTGAAACTTTTTCTGTATGACCTAGTTGAAATGCTCTCATAATGAAAATAACTTTTAGTGCTAGAACTGTTAAATGCATGTTTTTATTAAATTCAAGTTTAAACTTAACTATGGACAATGATTTTTGCATATTTTTAAATTTTAATAGTTTTAATCCCAAAATTTTACAATAGCAAAATCATTTTTGAATATATGGGGAAAAATATGTAGAAATTTACCAGTCATGAATGATTTTTACTTGTAGTGACAATTTTTGAAAATATTTTCTTACTTTGCTGTATTTTTGTCTTGATTTTTTTAATATAATTTTTAATTTTCCCAAATTATGTCTAAAGTTTCACAAAATAGGGCTAAAAAAAACCAGGAAGTCCTTTAACAGCAAAATTCCGTTTCTTTTATAGCATTTTAAATAATTAAATTTAATATTCTATTCTAGTTATTATACTTCATCTCATACAATGTTATGTTTCAAAATCAATTTGACTTTACAAACCAATAAAAGAAAAAGTTATAATGAAAACAAATTCCCATTTTTTGCAAAAATTTGTAATTTACATACATTTTTGCCATTAAAAATAAAATACGCTTGTTAGGAAAATAGCTTTAATGCAATTTAAATTTATATTATTAAAATATGAGTAAAAAAACTGATGAAATAGCTTTATTTTTCAGTGAAGGAAAAGAGAAACATTTTATTACTTTAACCAGTTTTTCTTTATTGTGTTAGGATGTTTATTTTTTTCTTTTTTACGAAAAAGAATTCAGAAACTTAAATTTTTTCAAACATTTCATGCTAATACTTTTTAACTGCACAATTTCTATCCTTTCTAAAATATATATGAAAAAGAACAACTGTGAAAATATATTTTTCTAATATTCTCACTCTGAAATATTTTTTTATTGTGCTTAGCTTAACATTCGTCATTTTATAATTTTTTAGGCATTCTAGTTGTGGATGAGTTACATATGCTAGGAGACTATGGTAGAGGCTACCTTTTAGAACTATTGCTCACCAAGCTTTTATACAATTGTAAGAAGTAAGGAGACATATTTAAAATATTTTTCCATATAATACTTATTAATCGTCTATTTTTAATTGCTACAATTTTAATTGTTTTAGGAATAACATAAGTATTCAAATCATTGGAATGAGTGCTACATTGCCTAATTTAGACGTTTTAGCATTTTGGCTCAATTCTGAGCTATATCGTACGGATTTTAGACCAGTCCCTTTGCAAGAGAGATTTAAAGTTGGCAATGTTATTTATGATGCTAAAACTAAAGAGGTGTGTCGAGAGTTGAATCCTGGGAGCTTACATTTTGCAGGTGATTCTGACCATTCTGTTTATTTTGCTCTTGAAACAATTGCTGCTGGCCATGGAGTATTAATATTTTGTCCTTCAAAGAATTGGTGTGAAAATCTTGCTACTAGTATTGCAAAAGCAATTTTTAACATTGGACGACCATCTGCTACATCTGATGGTAAGTTATAATGTTTATAAATATTAATTTTACAATAATTATGTTCCTGTGTACTATCAATGACAGTAGTACTAAAATTAAAAATAATTACAATAAATAACAGAATTACAAAATCCTGAATTAGTAGCCATGTAGATATATCAAGAGTGTAAATTAAGAAAATTTAAACACTGAATCATAGAATTAGTAATTATAAAATATAACTAGCCTACATACATTTTCACTGGTATGTTTACAAGTATTAGTATGATTTAAAAAAAAAGTTTAATAAATTTATTTTGAATGCAAAATTATAGTACAATGAATCTGTAATACATAGCTGCCAACTCTACTAGATTTTTCAGTAGACTACTGGATTTTGACAGTTTCTCCTGGTCTACTGGTTTAATTAAAATTCTCCTTTTTTTCGGGTCAAATTTTCTAAAATTGAGTGAGTTTCCTTAAAAAAAATATCTATTTAAATAGAATTTTTGTACTGATTATTGCTTGCTAAAGTATTTAAATAAGTATTACTAATACATAATGAAACGAACCTCATTTATGGAAATCAGTTCAAAACATTTTTTGTTCAAAAATGTTCAGTTTATTTTTATTCAGAACTCTCTCTTCGAATTAATTAAAAAAAATTTTTAACTCTCTTTGATAAATTAAATGCTTATTAATATTCGAAATTGTGAGTAAGCATAATGCATAACATTTCAAGTATGTTTAATGTCAATCGTAACTAGAAAATATTGCAATTTTTCTATTTTGATGACTGTAAAAATCCTTAAAATACCCTATGTGTAAAATATTCAGTTATATCAACAATTATCATGAAATTTATATTATTTCGTAAAATCTACTGGATTTTTTCCTATCCATGTTGGCAGCTATAGTAATATCTCAATTATCCTGAAATATGCTGATTGACATAGTATTCCTTTGCATTGTTTGCTAGTCTAGAGGACCATTGATGATAATTTTATGGTGGCCCTTCTCACATTTTGGTGGACTTTAACTAACCAACAATAGTTTATTTCAAGCCTTGTGATATTTGAATTGCACATTTTGAGCCAATTTATCATCCAGTTATTTAAATACATGAAACACTTTTTTTTTAAATATTTTTTTTTTTTTACCATTCTTAATTGTTCAATTTTTATAGATAATCCACAGAAGGAAAATATGGGCAAAAAATTAAGGGAGTATTTAAAAGGACCTCCATTGAATGATATTTTACAACAGCTTAAAAGTTCACCTGCTGGTCTGGATTCTGTACTTCGTTTAACAGTGCCATTTGGAGTGGCTTACCATCATGCAGGTAATCAGATTTTGTTTTTTCCGTACTTAAATATTTGTTTCTGCGCTATGATTGCATATTTTAAAAAGGTTTTCAAGAAAACATATATTAAGGGTAGTGGTTTTGGAGCAGTCTTTATGTATTTGTTTAGGAAAATTATTATAAAAAAGTTATTGATTTTTTTTTTTTTTTAAGGATTAACATTTGATGAACGAGATATTGTCGAAGGTGGTTTTAGGCAAGGTATTATAAAAGTTTTGGTTGCAACTTCAACTTTATCCTCAGGCGTCAATCTTCCGGCCAGGAGAGTTATAATTCGTTCACCTCTGTTCTGTGGCTCTCCAATTGATGTATTAAGCTACAAGCAAATGGTTGGAAGAGCTGGTAGGAAAGGAATTGATGAAGAAGGTATCTTAGCAATTTTTTTTCTTCTTGATAACCTTTTTTTTTTCTTCATTAATTGTTAACTCCTTATTGAAAAGTTGGTTCTTTTGTTGTCAAAGCTTGAAATTCATTTTTTCATGGTGTGTAAAATTTTTATTTACTTTTGAGGAATTCAGAATAAAAGCAGCAGTTAAAATCTAAGAGTTTATCATATCTCAATTCATTTGAAATTTTGGCATATGAAATGTATTAGCATAGGAAATATATGGCTGCAAGGCAAACTTTGGCACAAAAAAATATAAATAATTTACTAATTTTTGAACACAAAATACTTAGAAAATTTATAGCTCAGTTAACTAATAATTATTGGAGAATATTAAGTAGCGATGAACTGGAAACTCTGATCAAGCTTAAAAACATTGCAAAATTCATCAAAGCACAGAGGCTTTTGTAGCTTGGTCACATAGAGAGATCACATGACAGCCGGGTGGTAAAGGCCTTGCATTGCTGATATGTACTAGGCTAAGAGGCAGACCGCAACGATGAATGGATGATGTCTTAAAGGAATAAAGTAATTTATAAAGAGGAAGAAGATGCATCTTAAATGCATACATGCATTTGGCAGGAGTATCCTTTCATACATTCATCTTGAAATTCAAGATCAAATTAATTACATTTAAATAGCACTTAAACTCTTGTGTAAAGTTTATAAGAAGACAAACATTTATTTTGTGATGCTTGCATATTTACAAAAAAGGAAAGAGAAAAAAATTTCTTTTGATTAAAATAATTTCTAAGTTTAGTAAGAGAAAAAAGACTTAATCAAAAAACAGTCTTTCCTTATTTCATTCATGTCAAGTAGATTACAATCATGATCTCAAACAAAAATAGTTCACCCTAGTAATTGAAAAGGTTTATATGTGCAGTGTTTCAACAATAGTTGATTTCTTTACATGCAAATTTTTCCTTACATCTAAGACCTGAACAAAAGTTTTATTGGTACTTGTGGCATGTTATCAAAAACTACTAATGATTACAGTTAGTCTTTTCATTTTAAATATTTCTTCAACTTGAAAAATTTTATCATGTTAACCTATTTTTTTAGTAAATTAACTGATTTAAAACTCATAAAAGTTAATCAGCTATATATTCAAGGTGGCCACCCACCTGGAATTATCTGGGAATTTTTTTGTACTGGAAAAAACCTGGAAAAATCAGGGAAATTTGGATAGAAACCTGGAAGAATCAGGGAATTTTAGCGAAAAGCTGGAAATTTTTTGTGCAATATTTTTTTCACTTTCACTCATTTAAATTATTTACTAATTTTCTTAATTTAAATTATTTTATCCATTATACCCCCATTTTTTAGACTGAAATGTATTGTCAAACAGTTGAAATGTCATTAACTTAGCAATACTTTGCTTGCATCAAAATTTGTTTCATTATAACCCTGTTAAACTAGAGTACCACATAAATTTCTCCCTTGGTTGCAAAAGGATTGTAGAAACCTTTGACTTCTTTGGAGACTATGGGACTGCAGTTTAGGAAAGGCAAAGATTGTGGTGAAGGTGGAAGAAGGGTAATATTTGCTTCTGTTTTTAATTTCCATGTTCGACACCATTGAATTACCCAATTGTAAAGACAAAAACAATTGACTAATCTAAACTAAGAAACCATGTGGTTAGATTGAAATTCTTTAAATATTTCTAATACGAAAAAATATGTTTTTCTATAGAATATGTAACAAGAAATTTGACAATTTTGCCTTTATCTCTTAAAATAATAATGCTAATTCAAAACAAACAGCATTATTTAAACATTTGACTTTGGATAGTGGTTTAAAGAAAATTATATCAATGTATTTTATAAAGGGCACTGTTTGGATCAAATACAGTATAAAATGGCTCTATATTGAAATTTAAATAAATATAGAATTTTTTTGGTGTATAATCCCAGGGAATATTTTCTTTTACTTAATGAAAATATTTTAAACAGTACTTATCCTAGGTTTTTTAATAGTACTTATCCAAGGTTTTTTAACAGTACTTATCCAAGGTTTTTTAACAGTACTTATCCAAGGGTTTTTAACAGTACTTATCCAAGGGTCACTCTGTACTTGCTATTTGGTACATTTTGTGCAAAAACTACTTAACAATTTAAAAAAAATTTTATTCATTAAAAACAAAATATTCTGCAATAGTAAACATATTTTCTTCACATCCATTCAATATGATATATTGAGAATAGCATTTTAAATAAAATACTTCATAATATTGACACTTTTTTTGTACCCACCTACAATTAATGATTTAAAAAAATAGCACGCTGACCTGAAAATTTTAAGATTTTCACTGGAAATCCTGGAAAAATCAGGGAATTTTGAAATCTGATTTGAGTGGCCACCCTGAAACACCCTAATTCACAGTCAAGAAAAAAATCATTTTTTCCTGATTTCCTTATTTTTAGGGGAAAGCATTTTATTGTGCAAAGAAGCAGAAAAAAAAGTAGCACTTTCATTAGTCAGCTCAGAATTGAGGCCAGTCAGATCTTGTCTTATCTCTGCACAAAATTCTTTGCATTCAAGCTTAAAACGTGCATTAATTGAAGTAAGTTTTACCTTTTATTTTGTTGCCTTTTTCTCAAAGTGAACTGTTGCATATTACTTAACTTTTTTTTCTTATTAGGTAATTGCAAGTGGGGTAGCAAGCACTCGTGATGAAGTGCTACAGTATGCATCTTGTACATTGTTGTGTGCTGCAATTGCGAAAGAAAGTGAGGATAGCACTGATAACACATTGGAAAGTTCAATTGATAAATGTTTAAATTATCTTGTTGATAATGATATAATTTTTAAACATGAAGATTTAGGGAATGGTAATTAAAAGTTTTATTAGTATTGAAACCTCTAATTTGTACACCTTTGTTACATCATACTCCCTTGATTATTTTAATTAAAAATGTTTAAAAAAATTATTTTTTCAAAAAAAAAAGACTTGCTTGTAATTGTTTAATAAAATTTGTCTAGTTTTAAACTTGTGAAGGTATTATATTTTTGATATTCTTCAAATATTTTTGCTTGTAAAAAGGATATCATTTAAGGAAGCCTTTTATTAATCAACTTGTTCATTGACTAAAAGAATCTTTGTATTACTAATTAAAAATAGTTTAAAAGAATTATTGCCGTTGCCTGTCGAAAAACGTAATCGTAATAAAAATGTAATTTTGAAGTAGTCAATTTAAGAAATTGAAAAATTTTAATTTTTGATGCACCATATTTTTAATTTCATTAACAATGTTTGTGAAAATTGTAAGTCGACCGTCTAATAATTATATACAAGTTTCAAGCATAAAGATTTACCTACAGAATTCATTGTTTCAGACATTTTCGGTAATTGTATGAGAAAGAAACTCCATTAACAATTAATTATTATGAAATTTTTATGTTGATTCATTCAAGGATCATAAGCTTATTAATATTTTCAGCAAATGCAGTAGCATAAACTTGTTGAGTTTTGTTTCTTAGTTTACAATTATCGATTTGCCTCTGTCATCAGATTTTAAAAATGATTGTGAACAATAAAATAATGTCATAGAATTTTTAAATGATATCCACCAAATTACTTTTCTGCAAAAATATTAGGCAATATGTTCCCCATGCTTTTGTTTTAAGATTATTGAATTCCCACTTAAAATTATTAAGTAAGTCTTAAATTTGATGGCAAAATTTTTTTTTATTGGTATGAGAGAGCATTAACTAATTAACTAATAAATGGTTAATTTTTAATGCAATAGTAATATAAAAAATTTCTGCATGTTGATCTATTGTGAGTTGTTCAGTGTTCTATTAATAAAATTATACTGAAAACTGTTAAGACATTCTCTTCTAAACAAAGTTGTTCTGAAATTAATAGTATATTTTATTATAATAAAATTTGCCTTTATACTTATATTTTAATACTCAAGCAGAGCAAATTATACTTTTTTTAATTTGTCATTTGTCTTTTAAAAAGTAATCTATTCAATAAATGTCCTCATTTTTGTCTTGAATTTTTTGAAAAATTTAGTCCCGATTTTCTCTTTAGCCCACTACAAAGTCTGCATTATCCAAGCAATATCTGTGTAAAAGATTAATATTAAATATCTAGAATTTATATTTTCAGTATATCAAGTAACCTTGATAACTTTTAACATTACTGTCTTCATGCTTAAAATTTGTGAACTTGTTTACTCAATGAAGATAAATGTAGATTTACTCAATGAAGATAAATGTAGGTCCGAAATTTTAACCTTTATCTATTACCATTTCTAAGCCATGATTACTTAAAAATGTAAATAATTGCGAATTCTGAAACTGAAATTTCTAATTTATAACTTTGTTGAAAGCCTAAAAAGCAGCCAAGTTACTAAATGGTGTTTAAATGTTAAAGCAGTTTTGAACAGTTTTATGTACTGTGCTCACTCAATTAGTAATGCTCTTTTAATGCTTATTTTTCAAAAATGACGCCTTAGTTTTTTTCATTATGACATGGGTTAGCAATTCCCCTTAGTTTAATATTAATTAAAAACACTATGTTAGATTTTGAATTTAAAATAATGAGACAAAATTTTTTTCTTGAAATGATGCTAACTTTTAAATTTTTGTTTTTACTTTTTATGTAATCATTTTAAAAGAATGTTATGCAAACAGGGTCGGATTAACCTGTAGGCACACTAGGCACGTGCCTAAGGCCTGCGAAAAACTTGGGAGAAAAAATTTTTTTGACAAAAATAATTTAACTTTAAAAACAGCAAGTGTATTTTGCACAAAATTATGAAGATACAAATAAAAATATCAAATAAAAATATAATATTTTTCGGTAATAAATTATTTTGCAGATTCTTATGATCTGATATATTACTTTTTTTGCGATTTTTGGATTCAACGAAATCTTGTATTATGCTGTCGATTTCCATTTTTGAAAAGAGGGAAGGAGGGGAGGGCCCAAAAAACGGCTATGCCCAGGGCTTACGAAAGGTATAATCCGGCTCTGTATGCGAAGGAATATTCTGTAACCGCAAAGTAGATTTATTATTTATTTTATAGGTTTAACAAAAATAACATACAAACCAAGTCAACTTGGAATGGCTATGCTTGCTTCTGGTTTTTCACCTGATGATGCTTTGAGAATTTTAAAAGAATTACAATTGGCTCGTCGAAATTTTGTTTTAGAAAATGATTTACATATTTTATATGAGGTAATTTGAAATTATTTTCTCATATTAAATATTTGAAATAGCTTTACAAACTTCACTGAAAATTTTTTTATTGACTTGTGTCTATAAAATTATCTTTTTGAAATATATTTTTGCTTATAGCATTGATTTGAAGAAAAAAATGTGAATAAATTTTTCTGAAATACTAATTTTCTGATGTTTTTAACAAAATTTGACAAGATTATTTCTCATTAGAGAGAACTATCTTCCGTAACTGTATAGGCTGATCTTTGCAATCTGGTTATTTTTAAGACCAACGCATACCAAGTATGGAGTTCTAAGTACTAATGTACTAGCGAAAAAATTTGGAAGCAGTTGTGAGTCACCTAAATTATCTAATCAACCTTTATTTTCTATTTCAAAACCCTGAAAGGGGCAGTTCAGGTGAAACTGGTGCATAAATATCAAACAAATAATTTTAATCTGTGCTCTCTATATTTTTTTCATTTCAGTTTTACAAATAATACATAGAAAATAGCCTTTGGGAAGAAAGGAACACACTTAAATCTTCGCCTTCGGTTAGTTGAGCTAAAATTTGACCAGAAATTGCCTCAGTTTGATAGCTTTTTTGTATAGTTAATTCATATATCCAATTCATACTTTGCTGAAAGCAAAGTAATGAAGAATAAAAAAGGCAGAAATCTGCAAAATGTAATATACTAAAATAAAACTTTTTACTATTATACGCAAAAAAGGGATAATGCAGTGAGACCTCTCGGGAGCGACCACTCTCTGTTCCACAGTAAAATGGTCATTAATGGAGGTTGGTTGTTCTTTGGGATTACCTCCTTTGTCTTCAAAATGTTATTGAAGGTACATGATTTTTTGCAGACGATTTTAATTTTAGTCACTGTCATTTTTCTTGTGCAGGAATACCACTTGTGTTGAAATTATGAACACCGGATTGATGAATAAAACTTTGCGTCAATAAAAATGACCCATAATTATGAGTAAAAATAAATTTACCAATTATGAGTGATAGAACTATTTTAAATAAATAAACAAATATGTTTTTTGTTTAAGTTTAGATATAATTTTATGTCAGAAAAATTAGCTTTAAAAAGTTTAGAAGAAGTAGTAGTTAGTTCAAGTGTTTGTTGAAGTAGTAGTAGTAGTAGTTGTTAGTAGAAGTTTGTTCGCTTGAAAGTTTTTTTTCTTCTTTCCAATTTAACTTTCAACTTTAAAAATAAATCATTGATATCATTCTTTTTAATGCTCTCTAACTACTTATTCTCTTATACTCAACATTTGTTGATCTTTTTCAGAGATCTTTTAAAAAAGCTTTATAAGTAAGAGCCACTCACAATATTTTAAATTTACTAATTTGTTTTGTTAATTTTTTATGTTTCTTTATTTGATGTTTCCCACATTTGGTACAAAGGTTTGCCAGATCGCTGGGAGAGGTTTTAATGGTCTCTCTGAAGGGTTTTCTTCAACACAAAGTCTATGGAAAAAATTTGCTGCTTAGTTTCGTAAATTGAAGTGGTTGCTGCACAGAGGTGGTCATTCCTGGAGCTTTCACTGTATAACAATAATGCAACGCTTGCTTTCTTCTGATTTTGTAAAAAAAAGATAGTGTTTCCAACCAACAGTACAGTTATATCATAGAAATTTTAAAGGGTGAATTAAGGGATCATCCACTAAATTACTTTTCTTATAAAAATGTTAAGCAGCATGCACGCTATGTTTTTGGTTCAAAATTATTGAAACTCTCCTTTAAAATTAATCAATTAAGGAAGATTTGAGCTTGATTACAAATTTAATTAAATATTGATATAAAACTCATACTGTTTTGTATGTATTGATTCAAACTATTGTGACTGTTTAGTGCTTTATAAGTAAAGTTACTCGAAACTAAAGTTACTCGAAACTATGAATATTTTCTATTCTGAATGAAATTAAATCTAGTATCTAGCAAAACTGTCCTATAAAATATACCTTTATAATATGCAAATGGTGCTATTTAAATTTGTTAGTTAGCCGTTTGCCCTTTTTTAAAAATAGTCTGTTGCATGTATACTAGTGTTCTCCCTAAGCATTTTTCTTAAGGGCGGCCCACCTTGCCTACTCTTTGATCCCAATAAATGTGCACTTTTTGTAAAAATGCCCTGCCTTTTTTATTCTTAGGAAGATCTCTGTGTATACTGTTTGAAAAAATTTCATGATTTTTTAATTTTTTTTGGCCTGTGTGAATTTAGATTACTGTTACATGTTTATGTTATAATATAATATTTACAAATATATATATGTATATATACTCTAAAAAATTGTTCTCTTTGTTTTTATTTTACAAATGAAGGTGACTCCTCCGTACCTCAGTGATCAGATGGGATCCTTCAATTGGATGCATTTCTTGTCTATTTGGGAGGAGCTTCCCGAGGAATACAAAAGAGTTGGTGAATTAGTTGGTGTTCAAGAATCCTTCATAGGGTTAGGCGTTCAAGGCAGGATTAACAGAAATTCTCCTAAAACTGCACAAAAAGTTGCTATTCATCAAAGGTTTTATGCAGCATTAGCACTAAATGATCTCATTCAAGAATTGCCTTTGTCTGTAGTTTCAGAAAAATATGATTGCTCTCGTGGTATCCTACAGTCTTTGCAGCAGTCCACTTCCACTTTTGCAGGTATGTGGATATTTATAATCAATGCTAGACTTGTATCATAATTATGTCCCGACATACAAATTCGGGTTTAATTTACAGAATTCATTTTTATCTTGTGGCAGCAATCATTTTTTTTTATACTGCTCATCAACTAAATATAGAGATTCATTTATTAATATTATGTTGCAATCAGTTAATTTAGCAATGGAGTATAAATAGTTAAAGGATATATTCTGACAGAAAATTATAAGGTGTCAAAAACTATACTTATTTATGTGCAATTTGTTGTGAATTTAGGATAATCTAATTTATAATTGTAATATGCAATTTAAAAATATCTAATTTTTTATTAGGAATTTACAATTATCTAATTTAAGATTATCTATTAAATTATCTAATAAAATTACTTCTTATATTAAAATTCATGTAATTATGAAACTGATAATTGACTCAACTTATGGCAGGAAGGTAAGAAATTGTTTCAATGTGTTTATGTCCCCCCCCATGCACCTGTTCAATTAAAAATTGCATAAATAATTACAATATATTAATTATAATATCATATCATTGTTAAGTTAATAGTATTTGAAATTGGTGTGACATAATATATGAATCTACAATGTGACATACTATATCATTTCTTAGTAAGTTGAATGGTAACCACCATTATCGACATAAAGTAGTAGGTATTGACTAAAATATGATATTTTTATGTTTAAAAAGCATTTTTTTCAACAACTGTATTCTTGCAGCTAATGCAAGATATAAAAAATTACTCTAATGCCAGACAAATGCCTATTTTATCACTTACTTTTGCTTCACATGTTGTAGAGTATATTTTATCCAAAAGGAACCTATTTCTTCCAGAATACTGGAAAAAACTGAACAAAATGAAAGAAACAGGATGAAATAGAAGAAATTAAAAGTGACCATTATAATTATTTAGCAACAGATATTACAAGAATACCTTAAACTTAAACAAATTAAATTTAATATACCAGAAGGTTAAAAATTTTTCTCATCAACTCATTAAAGAGATTTTTTCACTAAAAGATATTCTTAATATTTATTTAAGTTTTATAAAGAATTTTAAAATCTATAAATCATGTTATTTAGGAGTAAGTTTAAATATTTATATTTGATAGCATTTGATTTTACAAATTAATGTGCCATTTGTAATTCTGTATTTAATATGTGATTTGTATGTAAGTAGTGAATAATATGTTTACTATGTAATTTTTAAATTTGTAGAGTTAATAAAATTTTATTATGATGTTATAATAGTTATTTATAGAATTATAAAATAAGGTTTTACTGTACTCATTTACATAAATGACTTCTGTTGTTTTAATTTCTTGGGAAATTTCTTAAATAAATTTTTCTTTACAATTGATGTTTTTTAGATTTCACACATTTAAAAATAATATATTAAATAGCTTGGAAATTAGTACTATTATTTAAGCTGGGTTGCAGTCATAATCTATTTTTTTAAAAAATGTTTTAAGTTTAATATTTCTTTTTGAAAAAGGTTTTTTTCCATTTCTTTAACTTGGATTAAAATAAATCTATTTCTCAAGAGTGGCTTTTTTCCATGGTTTTCTTTAATCGCCAAAAAAACTTCCCTTTCCTGGTTTGTACAAAGGAAAATAACAAAAATGAAAAAATATACAATATGTAAATATTATAAAAAAGTTTTATTTTCATTTAAATATCTCTTTAGAAGCATTATAAATTAACTATTGTTTGTGTGCTTTTTGATACTAACCAATAATTTCTTCTAAAAAAAATTGTGATTTAAATTACTGATTTTAATTATTATTCGTTTTAAATTGCTAAGACCCTAAATTGTTATTATGGAAACTTTATGGTTTACTTATTCTCGAAATGGTCTTAATTCCTTTTTATCTTTCACTTAGCAAAGTTAAAACTATAAGCATGTATTCAGTTATTAGAATTTTGTAATGACACCTAATAAAAACATGTATTGAAACTTCTAAATTTTTAATTCTACTTACATATATTTTTAATTCTACTTACATAAATTTCCTATTTTAGGAATGCTTACAATATTTTGCAGTCGATTGAAGTGGCACAATTTGGAGCTACTTTTTTCGCACTTCCAACGTCGAGTGCATTTTGGTATACAACAAGAGTTATGTGATTTAGTGAGACTGTCAACTTTGAATGCCCAGAGAGCCAGAGCATTGTATAATGCTGGATATGAAACAGTAGCATCATTAGCTAGTGCCTCTCAAGAAGACATAACTCTACTTTTGTGTAACATGGGTTCCTTTGAAAGGTTAATATTAATTTAAATTTGTAACAAATTATTCTAAAATATTTATTATTTTACTGTGCATTTTTTGATATTTTATAATGCTAATTATTTAATGTAGTAAATTACATTTTGTTTATTTAATTTGTTTTGAAGATAACTTGCAAGTGCTCAAAATAAGATAAGTGTGATTTTTTAAAATGTTTCCTCTGATGGCTAACTAATAAAAACTAACAAAATATTTTTAATGCAAAAAAGTATGACATTTTTAAATATTTCTTCCGATACCTATCCAATAATTTTAAAATGATTAAAACAGTTTTTTAAAAAAAGTGTTTTATTGCTATATAAATCATTTTCGAATATTATTTTCAATTCAAGTATTTTTATTATGGAAGCAATGAGTCAAAAATTATTTAGTTTATTGCATTTTTAACTTCTACTCTTCTGCTCAGAATACAATAAATAAAGTGATTTTTGTTAGTTCTAAAAAATCAAAAAGAAAGTTAATTAATTGTGAAGTTTTAATACTAATAAAGTTTTGTCACTTATATATTACAACAATATGGAACTATAGTTCGTTCACCAGGAATTGGCACTTGGCTCCACCCCCTTTGGATGCAGAGTTTATTTCAGCGCATGAGTAAAAGGAGAAACATCTCCGCTCTTGAAATTGAGACAGCCCTTAATGCGCACCAAAGGCAAGCAGAGAATTCTTTTTCAGTCACTTACTTCAAATTTTCATCTGCTATTATACCTTTTGTAACTCTAGCCAATTAAATATATTTTAAATTTAAAAAATGCTGTTTTTCTAACAAAATATCTCAAAAAGGACAAATTATTCACTCGAAAGAATGAAATATCATAAATTTTTTGAAATAAAATGCAAATAAAGATTGCGAAATAAATATTTTTGTCATACGATTGCCAAATAGCAACCTTGTTCAGAATTATTCACATCCTTCTCCCAAAAATTGCGAGATAGTATCGTCGGATACCACGTGATGAAGGCGAAGCCAAGTGCCAACTCCTGGTGAATGAGCTATAGTTGTTTTTCCACAAAATTTCCTTTAGAATTTTATTTTTAACAAAACTTTTTTAATTTAATTAACTTTTGATTTTGAAATTATTCATTTGATTTTTAAATCATTCATGGACTTATTTAATTTTTATATTATTAGTAATTGGTGTTTATATTTAATTTACTTAGAAATAATTAATAATTATCATAACTTTTTTAGTGCTAAACAATTAGATGGAGATCTTGCTCAAGAAGCTTTAGAACGTTATGAAACTAAACGAATTAGAATTACTGGAAAAGAAGGAGTTTGTGAAAAAGAAGCTGCTCATTTAATCATTCAAGAAGCTCGACACTTTATTAAGCAGGAGTTAGGAATTGATAAAATATCTTGGGGTAACTTGAATAATCATCTAATCAAGCAAAGTGAAAGTTCTATAAGTAACTCATCTAGTGATGAAATCATTGTCTCAGAAAACACTCATTACAAAGAAATAACCTCTGCAAATCCTATCAATGATAATAAAATTACTGAAGCTGTAGATTTATTAAAGACATCAGAAATATTAGATAATTCTAAATCTTCAATTAAATGTAATAGCTTAAATGATGAGAGTGTTTGTGTAAATGATTCTCGACTTCAGATTGTATCACCAGTTCCAGAAAAACTTTCTTCTGTTAAAAATGAAACTATACCTCTTCGGGAAAGTGATGATTCTAGAAAAAGTTTATCATTTCTCCTGCATGAATTGAATGAAACATATGTGAGTCAAAATGAATTGAATTTAAAGACTAATATCACAACTGAAGGAACATTTAAACCAAATCTGGATAGGAATATTACTGACTTTAAAACCCATTGTAAAAATCAAACAGAAATTGAAAATGTGTTCGATTCATTAAATCTCGAAACAGAAGATGCAGTTAAAAATATTTCTTTTAGTGAGTTTCTTCTGTCTCAAACATGTGAAATTGGTGATATTTACTTTGCCCAAACTTCTATTTGTGATGATAAAACAAAAGCTATTGAAAAAAATTTATCTGGTGTTGCTGATTTTGAAGATGATTTTATAGATAGTTCTGTAAAAGTTAATAATATTACTTTAGAAAAAACATCTCTAAAGAATTCTAGAAAACTGTCTTTTGTGAAAAATAAACAAAACATTGGAGATAGCTTTATTAATGATTTAGGAATGGATTGTATGGCTGAAAGCTTTTCCTTTAATTTTCAAAACTCTTTCAAGCAGCCTTTAAACTATTCACTTAGTATAGAAGAAGAAAATCATGAGAATAACAAAAATATTTGTGATTTAAAAAATAAAACTATTACGTCAAAAATAATGACAAATGTACAAACTCATAGTACTCCAAAACAGGATGCAGAACGTGATAGTAATACTCTAAGCGTGTCGAGAATATCTGATGTATGCCATAATCGAAATCAACACTTAGAGAATGTATCAAATAGAACAAAAGTCAACCAATGCAAAATAAATAATTCTTGCAATTCTCAACTCCATTCTGATAAAGAATTGACTGTGAATGAAACTAGTGGAGATATTTTTGAATCGGATGATAGCTTTGTTGCTAAATGCTTCAATGTAGAAAATAAAACCGTAACAATTGATATTGTTCCTAATGATAAAAAGTCAACTTCTGAAACTAGTACTGATTTATTTGATGAGGATTGCTTAGAAAATGTGTGCAAATCATTTTCATTTGATGAAAATGAATCTAAGAAAACATCCGATGTCTACACAGGATGTATTAATATTTCTCAAAAATGTGCACCTGAACATCCTTCTTTACCTCTTTCTGCTCTTTCAAAAAGATTAAGTGCTAGTACTAGAACACCATCTTCTGATCCCTTAAAAAAGCCAAAAATTAGTGCATCTAGTTCTCCTGTTCCACTTCATCCTAAACACAGTGCTATTGAAGAAAATAAAAAGGACATTAGTAATGTTGCTATAAATAAGCTTGAACATTCCAAAACAGTCGATCAGTTATGTTGTAACAAAAAGGAAGATAATTCTTTGAAACTAGAAAATCATTCTAAATTTTGGACATCTTGGGGATCTTCTGAATCATTTTCTGAAATAAAACATGAAACTATTCCAGTTTTGATAGAAAATGATTCCAATAAAGATGATGATCCAGTAAATAAGAATGTAGACCAAATTTCTTCATTTATTCTGGATTCGGTTGATAATGACCTATTTGATAGCTCTGCTTTAAATTGTGTGTCTCACACTCCAGACGATAAAAAACGTGAAAATACATTTTTCTACAAAAGTACTGCTTCTACAGCTCAAATAAATTGTTGCACTGAGGAGTTTAGCAAAAACAAGAAAGTTAATAGTTCATCACTTGCAACAAACATTGGCAATATTTCGAAATTATTCAACAAAATAAACGACCTACCATCTTTTGAAACCGTAGATATTTCGGATTCAGAAATAATCCCGTTTTTGAAAAAATTAGCTGAAGTTCCGAACTTTGCTCTTTCAGTTGCATGTGAAAAACTAGAAGAGAAACGAAACGTTATAGGACCTCCTAATCTGTCAGGTATTGCAATTTTTATTTCTGATTCATCAAATTTTTTTTTACAAATTATTTAGTTATTTTTAACTGAAGTAATGAAATTAAATATAATTTTTAGTCATTCATTAACTCATTGTGCCACAATGGTTAAGGTACTGAGTTGGCATTGCGATGGACTAGGGTTCGAGGTCTAATAGATAAGTCGACTCAGATTAATGGGTACCTGCAGGTCTGGAAAGTAAAATAGGCCACATTACCACCATCATGCATTTAGTTTCAAAATTGAGGCCTTAACCCAAGCTTTGTTTTCTATTCATTATTCAAAACAACTCTCACAAACCTATTTTACACATTAAAATGAAATGTTTCAGAAAATTCATTAGTGAGAACTGGGTAATATTTGCATACCGATTCGGACTAGGTGCGTCATTTTCTTACTTCATTATTCAACATTTTATCGTTGCTGTGATGTTATTTGGGTAGAATTTTATAAATTTTTCTTTACCTGATAATGTTAATTTTTATACTTGTTTGCAAGTGTTGGCTGGGCATTACTGCAGGTTAAAGTTTTATATTACTGGCGTGATATTCTTCCATCTTTCTAAAGTTTAGAGGAAAATAATAAAGGAAAATGATATGTAAAATTAATTATTTTTCTTTATATTTTCTCATTATTTTGTTTTATTTTATTTCTATTTTTTTATTTCTATTTTTTTTCTCTTTAATTATGAATTGTTTATAAAGCTTAATGGCTTGTTGGACTGTCAATGTACAGTGTGCCGAAAGAAAAGGACCACCCTGAATAATTTTTGATCTAATGATCAGATCTTCATGTTCTAGAACTCGATCTTAATGGCTCGAGGGAGTGACCTCAAACATGCTAATTAATAAGGGCAAACAATATTTTAAGTTAAGAAATCACACACAAAAACTTACTTTCTAGAATAAACATACATTTTTTTCTATGGATTTGGATTTTTAACCACCAAAATATTTAGTTTTAAATTTGTTTATACTTTTTTGTACGTTGTAATTAATGAAGCTTTATAATTATTAATGAAATTATTATTTATTTAACTTTAAATTGCCTTGTTTTATTATAATTCTGCAGAACTATTAATTTTAACTAATTTTCTGTTAGGTGACAGAAATACACATACTGAAAAGAATTGCTGTATCATAAATCCAGATATAATTGTTAGAGGGATTTCTATATGTTGTGGTGGTCCATCTTTTTACATTAGAATTTCAAATGACCTTGGTAAGTCTAACATAGAAACTATTGAAAATATGGTGCATGTTATAAACGTGTGTGGTGTACCTTTAAAAAGTATCTTTTTTCACATGTTATTTTGAACTGTACAGTTTTTATTGTGATATATATATATATATATATACAGGGTGATTCTAAATAGATTGGCAAAATTTNTATATTTTTCAAAAGCTTTGGATAATCTTTTTATGTTATTCCTTTTCTGTAAATCCTTTTTTTAATTTATTATTCAAAACGAAACGCTTTCTCACACTTTTTCACATCCTGTCCTTTAATCTATTTTTGGTTCAAGTATGCATTAATTAAAATTAAGACATTTTCTCCTTTGCTCTTTGTGGGAATCGTGCCACCTATTTAAGAAACCAATTACAATTACTGTCATTTTCCTTATTCCCTAAAACGAGACATTTTATGGATTTTCTTTGCAAGATTTTCCTATTATAGAGCCGCACGATGATTTTGACAAACTCTCTCTCGGCCATCATCACATAATGATTAAATAAAATTAATTTGCTCTTTTTAAAATCTTTTGCCGTCTGTTTTTTCTGCTCACGTGATTGCCACCATTATATATGCTCATGAAATAAGTTTAAAGTATAGAGAAAACAAGGAAAATAACAAAGATTAATGATAAGAAAGAAGAAAAAAATTTTAAATAATTTTAGAAAATATATAGTAAGAAGGTGGCAAATATATAAATATATAACCAAAAGTAGTACTCGTTTTTGCGGATATAATCGTCTGAGCTGATAAAGAAATTATATCTTTTAATTTTTTGTTTTCTGCATTTTTGATGTATATTTTTTTATTAAATATTTTTTTTAAATATTTTATTTTTAAAAAAAATTCTTTCTTCTACTTTTATTAATCTTTATTATTTGCCATGTTTTCTCTATATTTTTAACTTATATATATATATATATGTATAGAGTGAGAGAGAGAGAACATAATTAAGGCATGTGTGTATGTATATATATCATGCCTAAATTATATGGTGCAATCCAACTTCTATGTTTGTATGTCAAAAAATTAACTCGTGATATTCAAAAAATTGGTGTGGACAAATCATAATTGAAATGTGTAAATAAAAGATTTATTTTCCGTTTTTCTTGTAGAAAGTTCCTCTTTCATGGAGGTAAAGGATAAAATTAAAGTTCTACAACAGTTTTTTCACAGTCAACTGAAAAATGGAACTTTGATTATTTATAACTTAATTAATTATTACAAAATATTATGGCAAGGGTGCAATATTTGCTTAAATCTTAGCAAGGATATTTCGTATCTTGATCCATCTATAGCTGCATGGTTGCTTGATCCATCACTAGGTTTTGTGTCTTTGGAAGATTTAACTCATAGATATCTGCCCAATTCAACTTATTATATGCAAAGTAAGTAAAACATTAAGTTAAAATTAAAATTATTATGTGCATATTAGTGTTAGATAAATGTATTTTAAAATGTTATTCTATCTTTGTCTGCAACATTTTTTTAAACTTTAATAAAGAGTTACATAGTTCCAAAATTTTTCGCACATAATGATAAGTACGATATAGTACAATTTTCAAGAGACTGTTAGAACAAAAAATACCTACACACATGAAATTTACAAGATAATTAAATTTTATATAAGACTACAAAACAAAAATTTCATTATAGTGTTTATTTGTATGTAATAATAACATCGAAACATTTATATTTAAATTGTGTAGTAATAGATATGGTGTGTTAAAATGCCCTCAGACAGTTTACTTTTAAGTTTTACCATGAGGTGCTACAGTAATCTTTCCTTTTCTTTCTTTCTTTATTTTTTTGCATCACACTTAGTTTGTGAAACTGTTTGATCAAGTGTGTCATGTTATTTTGCCTCTGATTTTTGATTTTATCACTTTAAATTACTTTCAATTCTTGTAATAAATTTTTTTATTAAATCTTATTGTGTGCCCTGATTTTACAATTTAAAATTGTAAAATTTGCCAGTGTAATTTTTTTCAGCAAGCTTCAGCCTTGGAATTATCCAATCATTTAAAGATCGTTACACTAAACAACTGGTTAGGCAATCATTTCTTTTTCTTGATTCTGGTGGCCAGCAAGATGCTTCGAAATGAAAAATAAGTGTTCTGGAAGCTCTGAATTTGATTTCAGCAGCATTGGACAGTGTCGACTAAAATGAATTACAAATGTGTTTCAAAAAGCTTTCTGGAGTTTATTGCTTCTTACTGCAGCACACATTCCATTACTTGTTCATCTTTTCAATATCTTATTTAATACTTGCCCCAAATGATAGCAATGAAAACAATGAAGATTAGCAAAAAATATCGTAGGATATACCTTCCACTGTTCAAGAGTTTAAAAGAACAAAATCTCTGAAGCATTTGCAAATGCAAACCATAAAGCAAATTTGCAAACTTTAGCAAGGAATATTGATGAAGTTTAATTCTAAAGCAAAAAACATGTAAAGTTACTTATTTTTTCTAGTAGTTCATCTCAATAATGTAATTCTTTGAAAAATATACATATATGTTTTTTTATCCTGCTTTGTGCGTTTTTTAACCCTAGTACAACAAAAAACTTAAAATCGGGGCTCCACTGTATTTTTATACAATCATTTTTTTCCCTAAGTAAAGAATAACAATTAGGTAAAAAATATAACCATATTAAATTATATATATTTATATTACAACTAAAGCTCAAAAGCTGTTAATGCACACATTATCTAACTAATCATCAAGCTAACTAAGATAACTTTAACAGATATCAAGAGTAGAATTAATAGTCTTTTAATTTTACCTGGATAATGTACATATTACTGGCTTTTGTATCATTAAAGCTCAAAATTTTTTTCGCTCATATTATTAACTAATTTGTTGAGTTTTTGATAAAACTAACTCTATCATTTAGATATTTATGAAAACATAAACATTAATTTCCTTAGTTTCATATTTTAAGCCATTTAATTATTTGTATTATAGTTTTTAACTGATTGATGATTTATTCTATTAACTAATTTGTTTATTGCCTGGTTTTATCCACTTCATTTAAATATCAAAGAATAAATTATGTTAATTTAAGAGTACAAATACGTTGCTGATATTGTTCTTATTTTGCCTTTAACATGTGCCTAGTAGGTAAAATGCAGTGTAATGAGTACCTACTGTGTAATGTGCAGATTTCGTAGATAAGTTCATTAATGAGTCAAATTTTTGGATCTATTGTTTATCCTAGATAACATGCACATTATCTTGATAACTTTAGAATAATTGATTTCTGTCCTTTGGTAGTAAAATATATCTAGGTATATAATCTTTGGACGTATGTAAAGTTTCTTAAGTTTGATTTGCTATTTTCAGCAATGTCTTATATTAAATGATTTATTTTGTGCCTATTTTAATTTATTTTCAGATCAGGACAATAAAATTAATTTGGGATCAAATTATTGGAGTTCTGTATCTGGAAAACAAAGATCTTCTACTGAAGCCAATATTTTATATCATTTGATGGTCAAGATTATGAAAGACCTTCAAAATCAAAAGTTGTACAACTGTTTTAAAAGTAATTACAATAAGTATTTTGTTTCTGAAATATTTTATTTGAATATTGATTTTAATGTTTGTGTTTTTATTTCTGTGTAACATTTTTTTTTATTTATTATGGTTTGTAATGAGTATGAGTTCATGTTATATTGATACATATTATATAGTTCTCGTTAAAAGTTATTGATGAAAATTTTGAAGTTTTTCATTTATTCTTATTTTTTAAAAGTTTAATTTTTATGAAATAATTCATAGAATAATAATAGAATATTTCATAGAATAATAATTAAATTAAAACTTTTGCACGTGCAGATAATGTATCAAACTTTTGTTTGTCTTAAAATTTTAGAGAACATAAATATGTTTCTTAACTTAATCATTTTCACATTTCTAAGCAATGAAAAATTATGTGAAGCTAGTTAAACATTTCTTGCTTACACTTTAAATTTCGAGCAAAATAAGATGCATTTTTTATATTTACATTAAAAAAAATTTATTTCCTATTTTCTGTACTGTTAATTATAGAGAACTTGAAAAAATTCTTTTTTTCCCCCTTCTTCCCTTGCTTTCTATGTGCTACTTTCTCTATACGTAAAAAGTACACACATGTGATCAAGTTGTGTAATAAAAAAAAAATCTAAAATATTTAGTTTCTTACTTGAATTAGTTTTTAAATGTCTTATATAATTTAAAAATAAAAACTGTTACTGTTAACAAAAATAGATTAAAAAAGGAGATAATTGTATTTTCTCAAAACATAAGTAACAAATAAAAGCATCAACTTTCTCAATTGGTAAGAAAAAGAATCTTTCATAAAAGCTGACTTCTTCAAGAATCTCCAAATTGGAAGGATCTTTAAAGGATCCCTTTTTTTTAAAATTGTTTTCTTATATTGTTGCAGCAAAACACATGCATGAGGAATTTTTTTATTTTGTAAAATTGTTGGTATATGTCAGAAATTTCAGAATTTTTACATATTTGGTTGAGTATCTAAATATTTTATACCATTAGGAATTTAATGACGTAATTGTTTTTTATTTTCATATTTCCATGGAATTAAAAATTGCAGAATATTTTAGAAACTATTTTATTATCTAAAAATTACTTAAAATTATGACCTTATTAATATTAAGGCTGTTTTAAAGAAATCTGCTAATTAATGTTTTTGGTGATTCTTATTAGAAAAAAGTTTAAATGTAATAGAAGTATAAACTTCATTGAAAGATATACAAAATCTTGTTGGTAATTTTAAATAAAAGAATATATACTATTCTTTATGGAATATGTGGAATATATACTCCTTTAAGTATCTACAACCTACATCAACCATCTAAAACCAAAAAAAAAGGTTTATAAAAGTGCTTTTTTAGTATACATTTAATTTCTTCTTGCAGACATAGAAATGCCATCTGCGTTATCTTTGGCTAAAATGGAGCAAAATGGATTAGGGTTTGATTATGACCTTGCAGCTGCATATTTGCAAGACTTACAGAAAAAACAAAAAGATGTTTTGGACAAATCCTATCAGATAGCTGGGAGACGATTTAATATATCATCTTCAAGGGATATATCTAGGGTTTGTTTCGTTATTTCTTTTTCTAGTTTTTGCTAATGTGAGAATAATTTTACTTGCTAGAAGATATATATATATATANTGTTTTCTTTTATTATTTAGAATTTTTTTTTTTTTTTTTTGCAATTTATATATATATATAAATTTATAGTTGTGTATTGTAATGTATATTGTCGCAGTGCAGTTCTGTGCCTTTTGAGTAGAAGTTTGTGTTGTGATCAAATTGTATTTTGCTCATTGTCATTAAAAAATTTGAATGTGATTTTTAATTAATCTCCTGATGACATCTATTGTAAGAGATTGAGTGTACTAGAGTTAGTCATCCAATTAGTTGAATTTATATGAGTTTAGCTCTGATGCAGTTAAATATGTTGTGCTACCATGCTCTATGCATGCCTGAAAATTAGCAAGTTTCTTGTTGACAGTTTCAACAGTAGGGATTAGAGTAAGTAACAATGGATAATGAAGATAAAGCTGCCATTCTTATGGACTGTACAACAGCATGTAGCTCCCAGGGTTGTAAAAAGAAACCTGGGTTTTTCTTATGGGTTTAATTAGGTTTTTTTTTCCAAAATAAATTGTAAGCCTTGCTGCTTTAATAAATACCATTAATTTGATTAAGGATAAACCACTAATAATGACACTCCAATTATCTTTTGTAGGATTTACCTATTCTGTTTTAGAATTATGAAAAACTACTTGAATATTTAAGTGAAAAAATAAATTTTTTATTTTAATTCAAATAAAATACAGCAATTTTTAAAGTAAATTTTTAACACATAAAATTTACTTCTGCAATGTTGCATTTCATTACTTTTCCAACTGTGTTATTATATCCTATCTTATATGTAGGGAAAGAGAACTTCTAGAATAAGCTCTAGTATTCCAACAACAAGGAATCCATCAGAACAAGCATTTCACCAATTAAAAGCTGCTGTATTTTAATCTATGTAATTTATATTTTATTCTATTATAAACTTAATATCTAGAGCGAATTGGGTAATAATAAAATGCAATCATGAAAAAACCCACACAGGTTTTTACAGATTGGGTAAAATTATAACATCTCTATTGCGCCTCTTGGCAGAAGATGATCACCTGCCACGACAGATTGGGCTGCTGTAAGCAGCATCACATCACTATTATACAATAAAATTACAGTTGAGGAATAGCATAATTCCAATGTATATTGTGGTTGAGTACCTTTTCTAAATTGTACATGTATATATGTTTATTTTTTTATTTTTTGTAGATTTTATTTAAGGAACTAAAACTAAACATTGATCTAGCACCTGACAGCCCTAAAATTCAAAGACATTTAGGTATTGGTTCCACTGCTCGTAGTAGGAAGCTTCCACCTGAGCTCAAAACCAACAAAGAATGTTTGGAAAAAATAATGCATTTACATCCTCTTCCAAAAGCAATTCTTGATTGGAGAAGACTCTCTTTTGCCACAACAAAAGTAATATTGGTTTTTATCCATGTCTGTGTATACTTATATATTTATTAGATCATATATTAATCATGCCTGTTTATAAAATTACTTTTATCATTATTTGTTATAAATTACAGATTATTGTTGTTTATTTTCTTTAAGATTAGAAATTAAAATTTTTCAATTCTTTATTATTTATTTTTTCTTTAAGTGTAATGTTTTATGTGTATGTATCCACATTTTTTGATCAACTTCAATTTAAATATAATATTTTAATGATAATAACTTCAGTTGAAAGGTCTTTTATAATTATTTGTTTCTTGAGAAATAAATATTACTGTTGGTTTTGTGTCATTTGAACATTTTCTTAGTTAATACCTAAATATAAATTTTTATTTATTAAAATGGCTTTATTTAATGATTTTATCCCAGACCAAAAAAATAAACTTAGTTTTTTTAAAATGACAAATTGTTATATTTTGAAAATTAAAAGCTATAATAAATCTTTATTTCATCCTGCCAAAATTTGTATTTCCAATGAAAATTTTGTCGAAAAACAGCTATTTGTCCAGGCTTAAAACTTTTTTGCAACTATGTGTATGTTTTATAAATTATTCTGCTTTCTTTAACTGATTAATGTATCTTTTAAAATTTGAAAGTAAAATATGTGAAAAGGGTCAAGTATGAGCCTTAGAAATTTTTTAATTAAATGTATTTATTTGTCTTATGGTCAAATGAAATTACAAATTTGAGTGCTATACCATATTTTAGTGATGTTTGTGTAACCAATAATTTATTTTACTATCCTGTCTATCTATGTACTGTGGTACATAATTTCTATGTTACCTATTGTTTATTTTAAAACAAATAAATTAAATGTGTCTTTAAATACATATTTAATTTATTCTATGTTGTCTTAATTTTTTTACATGTTTAGAATAAATTTTTTAATTTTATTTTTAGGTGTTAATGCCTTTGTTGAGAAAAAATAAATTTGATTCATGTTTTCAAATGAATCGATTATACAGCAACTGTTACATTTACACATTAACTGGAAGAGTGCACATGCATAACCCCAATTTGCAGTTCATTCCAAAAGATTTCAACATTGAAAATAATGTCAATGTAGTTTCTGATAATAAAGAAAATACCGATGACGATATCCATTGCAGCGAAGAAGATATTTCTCAGTTTGGTGTGAGCTTAAGAAACCTCTTTATTCCTACAAAAGGTCAAATCATTAGTTTACCTATGCTTATATTAATTTATGGATATTATCTAAAACAAAACTTAAAATCCAGTTCATTTGAATTTATCTTTAAGTTCATAAAAATAATTAATGATTAAAGTGGAAATATTTCGTCAGTGTTAGAAAAATGTTGTTTGAAATTCGATTACACATCATGAAATTGTGTAAAACGAACTGTCACGATAGTTGATGAAAATTTTTTAACTAGCAACTTTTATAAAAGAAATTAATAAAGGAATTATTAAGAAAATTAATTAAGGAAAAGTTCAAAAAACACACTTTAGAAAAGAAACTTCTTTTTCATAATTGAAAGGGAATGGTGGTTGATAACTTGGCATGTTTCAAGCACCCTAAGTGCATCACTACTTGTCAGGGCAACACACAGAGGATGAAGTCTTTGTAACAAAACAAAACAAAAAGCAGTTATAAAACATAGACAAGAAAAATTAATTTTTCTTGCATTTACTTGTTTCTAAGTTTACATAGTTCACATTCATACAATATTCTTATTGTTCTGAAATTTCAAAACATCTTGCATTTTTACTCAAACTATCATTATATTTACTTTATTAATAGATTATACTAGACTTGTGCATCTGATAAACTTAAGAAAAATTTTAAAATCGATAATTACTATCCAGTTTAACTTTTGATTTTATGACAAGACTTTCACATTGCTAAATTACCACGCTCATAATTCAAGGGTCTACTTTAAATGTGTTCACTATTATGTTAAAAAATATAAAATGCTTTCTTTTTTTACATATTTATATGTATATTTTTATTGTACTAAATTTTTGCTATCTATATAGCTTTTGTCTTGCTGTTTTATTTATGTGGCGTAGTCAAAGTTCAAGCTAAAAGCAAATGAAAAAATAAAATAAATAAAAAGACATGCTTTAGCATTTCAAGAATACTCTTAATTTTTTTTTATGTAAAGTTAATTTTATTCTTGGTGATACTGTCTAATTTTACACTATTCAATAATACTGCTGTTTCTCAATAGTTGAAAGTATAAAAATTACAAAGTGCATGTATAATAACTTGTTCTTAAATATAAACATAGCTATGATGCATTAAACTAAATTTCAAATCATCTTATTCAAAGTTTATATTTCTAGTAAAAGTTGTTCTTTTAAAAAAGAAATAATTTTTCTCTGTTTTCAAAAAACTTTCATTTGCCTTTATTATTATAAAAAGGGAAAAATATTTCATCATATTTAATTTAACATTGTTTTTTCTTTGTTTCTCTGTTGCTAAGTTTCTCACTGTTTTGTATTTAATTCACTCTTCAGGGTATTTAATTTTTTTGTTACTGTAGGCATATTTTTAACAGTAGCTCTTAGAGCAAAATATTGCTTATATATAAATGCTTTTCCACTCTGCTCAGAATTGAATATGACTCAATAAACTTCTTTCTGTGCTGCTTTTATTTGCTGTAAAAATTTTTGAGCTTATTTAATTTTGTAGTTTTCCATAAATAAGTAACACAAAATTAATCTATAATCCCCTATACAGAGCTTTAATCTTTGCAAAACTTTTTTTCTTTTAGTCAATTATCTCCACAAATTATAGTTATTCTAACTATAACTAATTTTTTCCTTTATAGTAACTTTTTACCATATCATATCTACCTATAACTTCCATAAATAACTATGATAAATTTTTCATAAATAAATATAATCCTTTTTTGTACCAGGAATATATAAACAGACTAATTCATAACGAACATATTATTAGAATATCCCGTTTGATGTGAATATATTTAGATCTTAAAAAAAGGAATGTATAAAAATATGATCAGGAGTTTATTTACAGAATATTTATTTGCATTGTAGAATAGTTAAAAACTGGGTATTTGAAATGATAATAATGTATATTATGAGTTAATTTATCTCTCTATACAATTTTTTTTTTTTTTTTGCAATTCCTTACTAAGTTGCAAATTTGTTAAAATTTTTCTATTTTATGTAGGAAGTGTTTTGTTAGCTGCAGATTATTCTCAGTTGGAACTCCGAATATTAGCTCATTTGTCGGGTGATAAGCAGCTATTAACTTCCCTCAATTCAGGAGATGATGTTTTTAAAAAAATAGCATCTGTTTGGAAAGATGTACCGTTGAAATCTGTTACAAAAGAAATAAGGGAGCAGGCAAAAAAAGTATTGCATAATTTTATTATATATTTTAAAGTTACCACATTCTTCTGTTTATAGATTTTATAGTAGATGTGTTTTAATTTTGAAAATAATATAAACTAAGGACTGAAATCATATAGAGTTTTGTTAATGGACTGCGTCATTTCATAGCTCTCAGTAATTTATTTAGATATATAATTTTTGTAAGTTTTTCCTTTGTATGATCATTTTATGTATATATTTATTAGCTCTTACAAACTTTTGAATATAAGAAACACTTTTGAACATTTGAAAAGCTTAATGGAAGAAGGTTGATTCAATGTGACATTTTTGATAAAATTGAGATTTCTCGGAAAAAGATCATAAATTTTTATTTAACTTTGCAATATAAATTTTTTTTTTTTCGCCCAAGTCTTTAAATTTTGCAGACCTTAGTGTATGAGGGACTCAGTGGATGAAGTTAAAATTGCATTTTGCAACAAACAGTTGTCAAGCAACATTTAAAATCCTTTCTCTTAATAATAAATTAAAATGCCAAAAATGCAAACATTATGACACTCTCAGTTAAGGGCTTATAAATTTCATCTTTTGAAATGTTGTAGACAAGAAATATAGCATGGCATAAACTTTATTTTTGTCAATAAATAAAGTTAAAAGCTAATTGTCTCTAAAATGTAACTCCATTCAGTTCTTTATTTAAATGGTTTTTATCTACATAAGCTGTATTTCACCAATGTTCATGTTTGTATCAAGTTTTCATCAATATATATATATATTAGATTTTTTTTTCATTTTGACACATTTTCTTTAACATTTTATAAATTCAGTTGTGGCAAAAGTTATCTAAAATTAATGAGAAGTAGGTTCAAAGAATATACATTCAGGAAGAAGGCTAGCTTTCATACACTACCTAAAATCGATCTTCTAAGGGCTAGTACAGTCCCTGAGTATATTTGGGGACACATCAGCAAAGTTTTGTCTTTAAATGAATATGCTCTCCCAAATACTGCTAGGGTTGGAAAAGAGAAAAAGTATTTTCTCTTTTTATTTATTGTTGGTCTGTCACTGCATTTTAGTACTATTTATTAACAATACTGTATTAAGATATTTCTTTGAGAATTTTTTTCATATTATCCATTATATCTGTCTGTTAATTTTGGAGTAAAAAAGAGATAATAAAATGGCGGTTAGCTGGAGGCTGCTTACCTAACCAACTGTTTCAGGTGACGTATCTTGTGCCTGTCGCTTTGCTTCTTATTCATATGCACTAAATTTTAGCACATATGATGCTCTGCTAAATCTGAGTATGTTTCTCTTCCTGTAAGTTGTTTTTTTTTTGGTATAGCATCTCATACTCAGTAGTTCCCTATGTTAGTTAAGCATTCGGAGAGCTGGTCTTCTTAGCTTTTCTATATTCTCTGATAGGTCTGTCAAAAGATTTCTTAGTCATAGATATTAAAAACTATCTAGGGTCTTATAGGAATTCTCCCTAAATAGTTTGCTTGTTCCGAAACTTTAAATATATTCAGCGATGTATATGATTTGTATTATATTTACAACAAAATAACCTGTTATAAAGATTCTGTTTTATATAATAGGAAAATATTCTTTCATTTTAATTTCTTAATCACATTGTTTTGTTCTCTTGAAATCTGTCTAAATTTTTGTATAAGTTAGTGGACAAAAGGGGTTTATTATGTAATGTATGAAAGTTTAGTTTTTGTAATAAAAAAATTTTTAGCTCTTTTTGTACATAAAAGAGTCCATATATTAAAATACAGATAGACAAACTATCTCAGCATGATTAAAAGGTATATTATACATTTATAAATAAGGTATACGTTTATGAATTTAGTGTTTTAAAAATATGAAGAAATTCAACGACAATCATCTTCAAAAAATTTTCTCTTGCTTCATAACTCATTCATACTTCTTATTTATCTTCTTTTTTTAATTTGCAAACATTTTCTTAGTCGATGTCAAACGGCTTGTTGACTGAAATCAGTTATCATTTACCAGTTGTTACAATGTTTTTTTTCCAGATATGCTATGGTATAATATATGGAATAAGTGCCAAAACTTTAGCTCAGCATTTGAAATGCACTGAAGAAGAATCCATTGTTTTTATGAAAACTTTCAAAATCTCTTACCCAAGTAAAAATTCTGTAAAAATTTATTATTATATTAAGTAAAATTTTTGTCTAGATGGTAATTATTTTTTCCCTTTCTAGGCCTTGACAGTTATTTTCAGTCTGTCATTAATAACTGTTCAACAAATGGATATATCACAACAATTACCCAACGTCGTCGGTATTTGCCATCAATAAGAAATTCAAGTAAATCACAGAGAGCACAAGCTGAGCGACAAGCAATTAATACTACTATTCAAGGATCAGCTGCTGATTTAATTAAAGCTGCAATGGTTAAAATTGAATATGAATTGAATAAAGCTTTTCCAGAAGTTTCATATCCTCTATCTTCTATAAAAAGTAACAGTAAGTTAATATAAATTTTATACACCTTATATTTCTTTTAGGGGAAAGCTTTTGTTTACCAAACAACATTTGAAAAAATAATAAAATTGTTTTTTTTTTTCTTTTTTTTTTAGTTTAGAGTGTGGAAAATGCAAACTGATTATTAAAAATAATATTTGACAAAAATATATTACTGTGGAAGGATTTCAGAATATTTATTCATTCTTTATTCATTTAATTATCAACTAATTTTCAATTTTTTCTTTATATGTTTCAAATTTTTCAAAATATGTTTGCTATTCCTGAAAAAGTTATAAATGTTTGTGGTAATTGATGGCACTATTTCAAGAATTTATATAAAAGTAAAACCTAACATTTATTAAACAAAAAACTGGGTGAAAAACGAACAATGCCCCAACAACTTCATTTGTTGCCACTCCCACTGCACACCTTGGAAAAAAATAATATTGTACAAAAAGAAATGTGACAGTTCAATTTCTTGATTAAGCAAATAATAATATTAAACAATTAAATTAAAATTCTAACACTAAAATATGTTATGCATAAGCTATTTTATTGTGAATGTGTTAAATAGCTTAATTCTTTAGATCCCTTAGTTCCTTTCAAGAATGAATCAAAAAGTGCATCATAAACTGTTTTAATTATTTTTTAACAAACAATTTACAAAATTATTTTTAAATATTAATTTCTTTTATATTTTATCAATGATAGCACTGATAAAGCAGCCTTTATAAGTAAACCTTTAAAGTAGTTTTCACTTTAGTATACAACTGTATGAATACTTTTTTTTTTTTTTTAATCTCTCATAAATTAAAATTTGTTAGTTTCTGAGTATTTCCCTAAATTTTATGGATTTTTCAATCTACGGTAGAACCTCAATTTAACATCGCTAATCGGACTGGAAGAAAAGTTCATAAGTAACAGGACATCACTATATGAAGGGTATAAAAATTCCTGTGAAAATTAAATTTTTAATGTGTATAAATTTAATAATATTTTGTTAAATAAGTAATGTAGTTTATTTAATAAAGAAGAAACACTTAAATTATTTTACAAAAAAAAAAATCTAACAATTTCAGGGCATCCTTTTCTCTCTCTCTTGTTCTTTATGTCCTTGAGAGTAAAGGTTCAGTTTCTGCAGCACAATTGCTGCTTCATTAAATGATGGTCGAGGTTCCGAAGTTGAACATTCCCAGTTTTCTTCATCACTACTAGGTTCCAAATTTCAGCATAAGGATTTGCGCCTGATCCACAAGTCATCATATCGTTATTACATTAAGAATACTCCATAAAGTCTGTGTCAGAATTCAATTTTGAAATGCTGTCAGTATTTTTCTCGATCAGAAATAATGTAAAACTACTTTTTCTGAAACCATTAATGATACAGTATTTAGATTTTGTCCTGGCGATTGTTTATTTTTTGTTAGATGGTAAAAGTCATGCACGACTCCAACTCATTGGTATTTCTGGGAAATAGTATTAGAGGGTGCTCTAAATACCAGTTTTTTTTTTTTTTTTTACTTTATTGATATTGGAAATGCTGAGAAGACAGAAATCGTTATTTACAGGTGTCATTAAATCCGAGTTATACTGTAGTTAAATGCATAGTTGCAAATGGAACACACATTTTGTGCAGAAATTCTTTCGTAATTTTTAAATTGTTTTCTTGACAAATACTATTAATAAATATTAATGAATAATTTTGATTTGTGTTACAATGTATTGATGTCATTTGAATGAACATTTTCTTTCAACTATGCTGATTTGACCAATAAAATTCGATCATAAATAATTTTAAAAAATTAAGATTTCAAGTGCACTGTTAAAACCCTATACAAATAAAAGTCTTCCACAGAATTCTGATACAAAAATTAGATATAGGTTAAATCTTCTGAAATTTTAAAATTAAATTGATTTTTTTATAAAAATAATAATTTTCAATTTTTAAGAAATTAGGTTAGCAGTTAATTTTATGACATTGTAAGTTTAACTTTTACATTGTAAATTTAAGTTTTACTCGACTTTGTGATTGATTTTTTGAATGACCTTGTAAATAGTGAATACAAAACTGCATTTGACTTGTTCTGCTTATAGGTTAGAGACATGTTTTTTTCTTGCTGAAAATGGTGATTATGAAAGATTCAATTCTATAACTTGATTTTTAAATCCACTCTTGATTTTGTTATATCTAAGTAAATATTTGTTATTCCTAATTTTCACGTTTTACTGTTTTATTTATAAGTCTATCTTATAAATTTCAGATTCTCCCAAACGTAAAAGAAGCCCAAATACCTTTCGAGGAGGGTTCTTAGTTTTACAAATGCATGATGAACTCATATATGAAGTCAATGAAAAGGATTTAAAAACAGTCATTAAAATTGTGAAAAGAGGTATGGAAGAAACTACAAAACTATCTGTTAAGTTGCCTGTACAAATTCGCACTGGGCCAACTTGGGGTTCAATGAAAGATTACTCTTGACAAATCCTTTAAAAAAAATTTAAGTAATCAATTACTTTTACTCACACATATAGAATAGTTTTTTTTCATTATTTTATACTATAGGGCAAAATTAAAAAATCTTGCTATTGACCGGTGGTCAGTTGTACATTTTTAATAGTGCTAAAACATGTTACTTTTTTAAAAATTGAAAAGTGTTGATATTATTAAGGCAATTCTTTTAAAGCATTCCTCAAAATATAGTAAACAAATTACAAGGTTGATTTCTGAAATGTAGAAGTATTTTAAAAACAAATGTGAAATAAAGTAATTCTAAGAATATTACAAAATATCCATTATACAAATTTTGTATTCATTAATTAAATGCATATGGTATGACTGGCAGATAATTTTTCAATCACAATTTGTTATGTTCAGTTGCCCTGTGGGTGGTGACGACCTTTAATTTTGCCCTATATTGTATAAATCTTGTGATATTAAATCATCAATCATTTTACTCAAAACTTATTTATTTTGTTGATTGATAGACTTATTGAAGTAAATTTTTGCATTTGTGCTAATTGACTAACTTATGATGAACTATTACTTGTTTTTTCCTTATTATTATCTGTGATATTGGAATGTAAGAAATATATATTGTACATATTTTGAAATGAATGCATAATTATGTGTATAAAAGTTATTTTTTACAAAATGTGTTTAAAATCTATATTCATAACATAAACATATGATTATTAGATTTCAATATGAAACTTTATTGATTTATTACATCTGACATGATATTTAATATCAAAATATATAAGCTAATAATAGCTTTATAATAGCATACTTCTTATTAAACAAAGAATTAAAATTGTTTAAAAATATCTTTTTATAAAGATTGGTTTAAAGCATTGAAAATCATTTTGACTCAGCATCATAAGATGATAAAATTGAAAACCATCAGTCCTTCTACTTTGTTAATTGGCATATATTGATGGGAAAGGCAATTTTGTAGTTGGTTGTACCCTAAAAGGAATGAAAGCATATTTATTAAATGTTATATTACTGACCAAACTATGATGTCGGAGGTAATAATCAAAAAATCTGTTTCAGAGAAAAGAAAAGGGAAACTTTTTTTAATGATACTTGTTCAGAAAAATGTCAAAAAATATAAACTCATTGATGAAATTTCTTTTAAGCATATTACATACTAAGCATTATGTGGTGTGTTTTTAAAATCAAGATAATTCATAATAAGAAAAAATATATTTATTAGTACTAACCAGTTTTTTTCACTCCATTCAGCACCATTTTCTATTGCATGAAAGGTGTATACAACTCTAGGTTTATCAGTCTTATTTCTGCCACTCTTATGTAAAACTTGTCCATGAATGAGAACACAATCACCTAAATAATAATGTTCATAATTTTAAGAATTTTTTTTTCTTACAAAATGTTATAAAATATTCTTATCTAAAATAGAGTTGTTGTTTTGTACAACTAAAAGTTTTTATCATACATTGAAAAATGCTTTTAAAACATTTGTTTCCTAATAAAACAATGTAAATTTTACTGGTCTGTGTATTTATCTACTACTTATTTATTTGTTACTATATCTATTATATTGAAAACGCATTAGTTGCAGTGTGAATATTTGTTCCTTCCTACATTGCGATTAATCTACTTAGTTTTTAAATCTTCTATCATTTTTGATCCTTTTGAAAGAAAAAGACTTTATTATAGTTCTAATGATAAAAATCAAAGAATATTTTAATTAAATATTAAATCAATTAATCAAAGAATGGCTAACATTTTACTAAAAAAAACTTTTTAGTAGGTTTTATTTATCCCACTTAAATGCATGTCTGATAGTTGAATAAAGGAATAAAATTTAATGGAACCATTTTATATGAAGCTAATGTTATATTTCCTCATTTAAACTGTTATTTGTAGTTTCCAGTCCTTGCTTAATTGCATAAAGAAGTGTTACTAAATTGAAAAAAAATTATTTATTGTTAGAAAATGTTTCATCAGCTAGAATGGAATTTCCCTTGTATAGTTAAGATGATAAGAACACAATAGGTGGTCACTTCAGTAGAGACTTCCTTTTCATTTGTTGCTCTAAACAGGTGTTAGAGATATAGTTTTAGAATTTATTAAATCTTGCTGGCAGTTATACATTGGTGTAAACAAAGTGGGTTTTACCATTCTTTGAGTTTCAAAGGGATTTATTTCATGGTCAAGACTTGTGGTTCTCTCCCGGTGTGCTATTAAATTTTATAAGTTTAAAAAACCTGCTAACACACTAGTGTACAGTGTGTCTTTCTCTAAAATAGAATAATCATTGCTTACTCCAGTGAATAACTCAGAGTTGGTTGCACAATGAGTGCAAAAAGGAAAGGTATGAGTTTATGAAGAAAAAGTCTTGGTAACAATACTTTTCAAAAAATCTCCAACTGAAATAAGTAATGAATTTGGAATTAAGCTTAAAGGATAAAAAAAAATTTAATTTTGAAAGGAATATGCAAGTCATAAAAGCCTAAGTTGAAAGAGAGAAAAATCGAACTTTGATGAATTAAACGGGTATCAAAACAGTCTTTAACTACAGATTTTTGGGGAAGGAATAAAATTATACATATTATAGTACCTATATTATACTTTTCATTAGCATTGATTTTTTTCATATATAACTTTAAATGACATTTATATTTTACTTCTAATGATACTAACTCTGACAGCTTTAATTTTAAATGCTTATTGAGCATAAAATTGAGTTTATTTAATCAAAACATATGCTTTAGATACTATTAAAAAGGAAAAATACATAAAAACTTAGCATTTAAGATTGAATAATCAAAAATTAATCAAATAACTTGCTTTATTGAATAGAGTTGGCTGGACCCAGGATTATTCCTTTAAGTGTGGTTGACTGTATTCATTTTGGGATTTCAATTTTAAAAAAACCTAAAAATAAATACTGATTCACAACTAAAATTACCTTTTTTGGCAGGAATCGGCACATAACCTTCATTATAGAGATCATCTGGTATCTTTCCTTCCATGACTAAGAAAGGATCGTTACCTGGTTTTCTGACATATCTTACATGAATTCCACCTGAAATTAGGAAAAAAATTATTGCATTTAAATTTACTATTTCTTGTTAAAATGTTTGAAAAAGTTTTTTTAGTAAAACTATTAAGAGTAGCAATTTTTTCCTTATTTTTAACTATGAAGTAAGTATTCTAGCAGCTTCAAATCCCATTTTAAGATCCTACACATAAGGTAAGGGCATGTAAATTTTGAAAGTTAAAATTTTTGTTAGAAAATTGATATCTATTATGCTGATAACTTTTTCAAAAATATAATTCAGATGGACACAGAATATATAAAAAAGTTTTAAAGAAATGGAAAGCAGGATTTTATCGAACTCTGTTTTTTGCACAAACAATATAGCTACTACAATTTACAAAAATTTTTAATTCATGTAATTGTAGCACTAAATGAATATCTTCTGAATAATTTATGCAAAATTATTTTGCTACCACTTTTTAAACTTTTGTATGATTGCAAAAATTATGAGTAGATATTTTATGTTTCGAAAAATGTATTTTTGCATAACCCACATACAATGTTATACTACACTTTCTATAAACAAGAATATTTCACAAAACCTAACAAAAATTTATTTATTTCTAAATCTAGTCAGGTATAATAAAAAGCAGCACAACTACCATGTATTAAATTGTAGGCAACTACTAGCATAGCAATATATTTAGTTACCTCTTGTTAGGTTTTATTTTTCTCAACTGAACTAATAAACTACCAGCATTTAAACTATTCATTCCTTTACTAATACCCTGAAAATTACATTTGAATTCAATGGACTATTTAAAATTTTATCTATGGCAATATGTGTTTTATATATTAAATTTTGCAATCTCAAAATTTGAAGTTGTTATTAAAATGATTCCTACTTTTGTGGGATCCTGGCAGATACCATAAGCAGCCATTTTCCAGTGTAGCATCTTCCATTGGTAACCAAATTCCAATGCAGCTTTCTGGCTCAGTGTACAGAAAAGTTGAATCCTGATGAGGACGGACTAAAAATAAATTTTTTAAAGTTATAATTTCTTAGGAATAAGATTTTAAGTAATTCCATAAACATGAGTGATTTAATATCACTAATTATGTTAGGCTTATATTAATACTTTTTCTTTCAAATTACTCATACTATTATGTGGTACAAAATTTTTCTGCGACTAATTTAATGTAATAGTCTAACACTCAATAAACAATGCATATTCTTGCTTAAATTTCAATGTGTAAGGCAAGCTTTCTTTGCTTTGATACTTAGAAACATTTCTGTAGCATCTAAATGCCAAGATTTAATTTAAAAAACAGAAAAAAGTATATCAAACTATCATTATCATATTCAACAAATATTGGCATGTAATAACAAATATTGGTTGTTATATTTATATAACTAAACTCAGCGGCGCGACAGCCCAAGAGGGCCAAGGCCTACTGTGCCCATCTCAGTTTTCATGACCTTGGGCTCTGGGGTGCAGGAGCAGATGTTCCGGTCAGGTGGCCAACCGAACGCGGAACCCCCAGTGTTCAGTTCCCAAGCATGCTTGGTACTCATTTATCGACCCACTGAAGGGATGAAAGGCTGAGTCAACCCTGCCCGGCCGGAGGATCGAACCAGGGGCCTGTGGCACGACAGCGCGAAGCGCTACCACTCAGCCACCGGGCGTCCGTTATATTTATATATAAAAACATAATATATTCCTTTTGTATTTTGTTCAAAAATCAAAAATATTGTCTATAAATTATTATTTATAATCAAAGGTTGTACTTACAAATTTCTCCAATTTCAGGATGCTGAAAGAAAAAAAAAATTTTTTAATACATTAGTTTGTTTTTTTTTCAAAAAGAAAGAGCAATTCTTTCATTAAAAAAATAGTTTTATTTCAAATATTCAGGAAATCAGTGGTCGGAAAAACTTTATTTTTGTAATTGACTACAACTACTTGATTATAAATGTGTTTAACTGCAACAACAAAAACTTTTTTTTTTAATGTAGTGTCTACAAACTACATTCAAAATGTAGTAACTACTACAAGAAGACTAACTTTGCTGAAGAGCCTAATTTACACCAGTTTTTTTTTAATAAAAAAAATAACTGATTTAAACATTACAAATTATGAAGAATATATATTCATTTTAACATGGGTGAATTGGTTATTCAAAACATTTTTTAAGGAATTTTTTCTATTCACCTTCAGCTTTTTTGGCAGTGAATATTTAAGAAATGCTAGGAAATTATCAAATATTTTCAATCTTGTTACGTGTTTAATGCTCATTTATTTCCTCTGAAAAATGAAGTACTTCAAAAATATGTCCCCTTCCATTGAAATAGCATCAACGTTGCATGAAAGTATTGTGCATTTGCATCTAAAGATGTAGCCTAAGATATAAATTGGGTATTATTCATAATGGCTAGTTTAAATGTTAGTAATACGTAAGTCTTATTTAACACTTGGCCACAATGACATTCTCATCACGCCCATTGACAGACCCTTGAAGCAGGGGTCTGTTTAGAAGAAATTTGGGTCCGTTAACGGACCCTTCACAAAATATCTTTTCATAAAAACGTACCCTTCACAAAATATTTTAACTTAAAAACGGACCCTTCACAAAATAATTTATCTTTTAATCGGACCTCTCACAAATTTGTTGATATTCATTATTGTTCTGTTAATCGAATAAACCCTTTTAAGGAAGGGGGAAAGAAAGAATGTAAACGAACTAAATTTTGTCTTCGTCAGACACTTCTTCCCTTATTCGTCCGAAATAAATAATCTGGGCTCATCGGTATAGGCTAAATACCATATATTTGTATGTTGCATCTCTAATTTAGTAGCAGCAATTGCTGTTTATTACTGAAATTTTAATTTTTTTTTAATTATAATTTTACAGTGTTGAGCATAATCTTGTATGTCTTTACAATTTAAAAACTCCTTGAAAAAGCTTTTTGCAATAGCAGAACCTTATTTGCACAAATTCACAAAAGCGGACCCTGGTTGAAAGAATGTGACTTAACGTTTATTTTATATTCACAAATTACGAGTAATTTTTTCACAATTTTAGGTCCTTTCACAAAATGTCTGGGCAGACCCCTGCTTGAAGACTTGTACGAATCAGATTAAAAAAATTAGTTGTGTTCAAACCTTGTTTCTTTATTAAACTAACGTTAAAAGTAGCGGCCAGGAATTGCTACAAACAACTATTTTTTTGTATATCACTACTCAATACACTACTTTTTTGCTGCTTGTCACTTTGGAAGGAACAAGCAAGAGTAGTTGCGCTACTTGTAGCTTGTTACTTCCGACCACTGCATGAGAGGCTATATATCAAACACTAACAGTTAAACGAAAAAGGGAAGGTAAAAAAAAAACATTTGAATTGAGTATAAAAATGTATCAGAAAAATTCTCTCAACACTATTTTCATTATAATTGAAAAAAAATTGTAGATTAATTTGTAAAGCATATATAATAATAGAGAAATGTTTATGTTTAATATTTAAAGTGTTATAATTTTACATATTTAAATTAAATAAATGCATGTTTTTACTTTATATGTTTAGGTAAAATACATATTTTGACTTTATTGATAGAAGTGAAACATTGTTTGAAAATTGAAAATATTACTTACCTTAAATATTAACATGCTTTGACAAATAGCTGGATCCTTGTATTCCAAGGCTCGAAGTAGATCCTGAAATAAACCACATTATTCATCACCAAATATATTTAACATATTACTTAATTTTTAAATAAAGATACATGTTAGGAAAAACAGAAAGAGTAGAAATTGTGAAATTTCTATTGAGTTTACATTTAGCTTGTCAAAAAGAACAATAAGAGTGACTCCATATAAGATTTAAACTTTTCCCAAATTTAAGCACATCTTTTGTTCTTAACAAAGTAAACTTACATTTATTTTATCAAATATGATGCTTAAATGGTCTCCTACAAATTTTAATAATGCTTTAAAATATCATGTTTTTCATTAATTTTGCGTCGATAAAAATAAGTCTATTTTTCTCTTTATTGGTGATAAATGTAGTTAAGATTATGATATTTGTGCAAGGGCAGTACACAGTGGTGTCCTCATCACACCGCTGGTCACTAAATTGTACAGTCTCTATACACTCTAGCCCACAAACACTCTATACACTCTAGCCCAGAAACCCTGTTGCAATGGCACTTTACTTAATAACATTTGCACATATGTAAACTTGCTTGTGCTTTTATTTTTACTATGAGTATTAATCTATTTCTATAGCAATCTATTTGTAAAAAATGATTTTCAGAAGTACTATAAAATTGATACTATTAAAAAAAAAAAAAAAAAAAGAGTCTAATATTTCATACTTTTATTTTTTGATTGAAGGAAATTCTTTTGAAATTGGGATTCCACCAGTGCAAAGCTAAAAATAAAAAGAGGCAAATCTAATTATTCTAGAAAAAATTTGAATTGGATTCAACACAGAACTATGAAAAAATAATTAAATTAAAATTAAACTTGCATTAAGATAAGATTAATTTCATGAAAAGAAAATATGTTACCTAACATCACTGTGCTTCTTATCTCAGATTCTTAAGATAGTATTCATTTTTCTTAAAATATATTAAGAACATATTTTTTAATTTTTCTATTCAACTTTTATCGGTACAAATCGTAAAAGCAAAGTAATAAATCTAAAAAGTATTGAAAAATAAATTTATATTGTAATTTAATATATCATTTAGATAGTAAGAAATTTTTAAAATCTCCAGTTAATAAATTTATAAAAAAATATTTCATAACTGCTGATAAAGTTTCGAAAATAATAGTGTAACAAAAAGTTACAATAAATGGTACTGTAATTTCAACATTGATCAAATTTATTACATTTTATGAATAGGAAAAAAGTTTTTTTCTTACCTGTAAAATTAAAATTGTAGGAAATGTAACTGGTCAGTATAGTTTATTGAGATCTTTATAATTATTATTTATCAATGTTAGGAGTAGTGATTTTAATACCCTCAGATGGGCTATTGAGAACAATTATCAAAAACTTGACAACTATTATCAAAAATAAATTTTGCATTTTTTCAAAACTTTTTTTACGAAAAAATTCTTGTTGAATGTCATAACATACTTCAAACGAATTCAAATTCTTAGTTAATTTTTTTATCTTTATCACATTTCCTTTATTTTCTTATTCACAACTTAAAACATTATAACTGCTGACATAATTCTTATTCACATTATAACTGCTTTTTTTTCAAATTCATATGTACAACATTACTCTCGATCAAAATTTACATTATATTACAAAAATTAGAAAAGAATTTATAAGAAAAAGAACTGTGAATGAAATTTTTTTTTAATATTTATAATACAAAAATTATTGAAAAAAAATTTTGATTTTTCTAAAATTTTATTAGCACAACATGTTCAGTTTTCTGCTTATTTCATGGATATTTTTATTCGACATATTAAGAAATATTTTAAATCCACATTCAAACTTACCATATGCTATTTTATTCAAAGCTTTCTGTTTGTCTTTGACTGTTAAGTTTCCTATGAAAAATAAATACAATTGAGATTCAATTTTTTACTCATTCTATATTCATCAAACTGCTATATTCATCAATCATACTATATTCATCAAACTACTGATAAATTCTCTTACCATCTTCATCAAATGCATCATTTTCAAAGAAATATGCTACTTTGTCTCCCGAGTTGATATAGTACTCTAAATCTTCCTAAAATAACAAAATTAACACTAAAAATAATATTTTTATCTGGTATATATTAATTTTTATTATCGTAAATAATAACTTACTTTTGATTTTGGATTGTTATAAGAAGAATAAACATGCAGATCGTCAGTCATGTGCTTCAGAGCATCGCTCAAACCTTTTTGCATATCATCTAATTCGGATTGATCCAGGAAGTTTTCGATCTTGCAACATCCATTTTTTCGGTACTAAATATTCACATAAAATAGTTTTACTAGTGGATATTGAAAAGCGTAATTTATGATAAGTATTAAAAAGAAAACTAAAAAGTACAATCTAAATAATATATGCCCCTAAAAGTACTATATTTAGTACTATATTTTTTATATATTTTTTTATCAGTTTAATGACATTTAATAGAACTAGTTATGAATATCATAAATGCTACTATTGAATATTAATAGAATCGAAAGTAGTTAGATGTAGAGTTGGACAAAACAAATTATCAAAGTTATTCAAATCAATAGAATCAGCTCACTTCGGTATTTAGAATCATTTGTAGATTCAAATCTTATCAATTTCATTATCAAACCACTTATTGATTCGAATCGGGAATCTATAAGATTCAAATCGAAAAACAAGTGAAGAGTGGTTTGATAATGATTGCGATAAAATCAACCGATTCGAATCAATTGATTTGAATCATATGCAAGTTTGGGATTCGAATCATGGAATCAGTACCCAAACTCAAGCTAAGAGTAGTTATAAATTATAAAAGCAAAAGCAAGCGAATAGCCAAAATTTCTAGGAGATAAAATTGCATATTCTTACACTATCGTCTTTGAAAAATAAAGCTAAAATCAGATCCGTTTTACAAATTTTTATGCCCAATCATGAGAAGTATACTTTCTCCAGAAATATGATAGCAAACTTTTTTTTTAATTTTAAAAAGCTCAGTATGATTCTGACAAACTAATCTATAAAATAGATATTAAGTTGTATAATAAATTAATTGTACCATTAGAGTTAGTGGATTAGCATCATAATGTAGGCAAATTAATTATTTATAAATCTAACGTTATTTAGATAAATTATAATATTTAATGCTAGAATGTAAATCTGCATAACCTCAAATTTGGTAGTATTATTATTATCACTCTTTAATTTTATTGCATGTAAAAACTTTAATTTCAAGTTTTAGTACCTTTAATTATAATAAAATTGACTATAGTTTATATAAGATTATCTCAAACAGAGGTTGCTAAAATCCGGGCTTTTAAGGGAAAAAACCAGCTATGTGGGTCTTTCATGAAAAAGCCAAATTTTACTTGTGGTTAAGTGGTGTAAGTCTTATGGGTTTAGTTTTTTTTTTCTTCATGAAAAGGCATAATTTCTCCTGGAGATAAGTGGGTTTTTTCAAACATATTCTACATGCATACTTATATATATATACTGAATATTATATATAGTATATGCTGAAAAAATATAACTTGATTATTACCAAATAAATTAATTAATAAAAAAAATGGTTGTGAGAATCACTATTTCAGTCGTTTTTCTGCCATCTGTAATGAATTGCATAATGATAAAGTTACTGAAATGATTCTTTGTAAAATGTAAAGCATAATACGTGATTAGTTTTAAATTATTAATAAACATATATTTTGTTTTAAAGTTAATGAATAGAATTTCTAGAAGCATTGTCTGCATTCCTGAATTGAAATACACACATATGCATATTTTGTGGCGCATAGCTTGTTCATTTCTATTTTTCAGTGTATTAATTCTTTAGATGTACAAAAAATTAACATTTATATTAATATTATTTTTGGAATTAGTGTAAAAAGAAAGTAAATTTTAAACAAATGTTTTCTCAGCATTCCATGAAGAACAGCTTTTTTTCTACTTTATTGAACTAGATTTTATCAAGTAAAGTCTAACTTTTCAGCAACATTTTTTAAAAAAATTTATATTTTCGGTCAAAATAAGCTTTATATTTTTTTAATAAAAAGAGAAGCACATTTTCCACAAGAATTCTAAATGTACAATTTTAAAAAAAAACGATTCAGAAAATTTTTAAAAAAAGAGGTTTTAAAAACTTTATTTTTTCCTATAAGAAGATCAGAATAAATTTAAGCAAGCCTTTTATTTCAACTACTGCTTAAAAATTTAGTATAATGTTCTAAGCTTGAAACAGTTTTCTTAGTAAAACAATTTTTTTTCTATTTTACCCTAATTGATGAAAAATTAAAAAATTTTGACAAATGATGAAAAAATTATAGTTTCTTAGCTAAAGTCAGTTCAACATGAGCTAAAGTCAGTTCATATTAAAAGTTTATAACTCTAATAGTTTCTAAATATGCACTGTATAAATTTTATACTAGCGATTTTCATTTAAAAAAAAATTTGTATAATGGTGTAAGCTTAAAACAGTTTTCTTAGTAAAACAAATTTTTTTCATATTTCACTCTGATTTTTGAAAAGTTTAATAAATTGAAGTGATTTAAATTTTTTAGCCCCAGGAGTTAATTTAGTTTTACAAAAAGTTTAGAAGTAAGCAAAATTAAAAAGTCAGTTCAAAATAAAAGTTTTAAGATTCTAATAGTTTCTAAATATGCACTTTAAAAAATTTTCTAGTTACAATTTTCATAGAAAAAATCATAGTATAATGGTGATACAGTTTTCTTAGTAATACGAATTATTTTATATTTTACTCTACTTGGGGAAAATTTTAAAAAATCCAGAGAAATTATTTTTTTTTTGTGGGTGAGTTAATTTAATTTCGCAGAAAGTTTAAAAATAATCGAAGTTAAGAAGTTCGTTCAAAATAAAAGTTTAAAATTCTAACAGTTTCTAAATTATTAAAAATTTTATATTTCCCAGTTACAATTTTCAGAAAAAACTTACCTCTTCAACGACTTTTTGATAATTCACGGAGGAAGGCATATTTTTCGGTTTTTCCTTTTGGACTTCTGCAAGCTTCTTGGTTGGTAGGCCTGTAAATTAATGGAAAATCCATATTAGAAACTTTTATAGTGGGCTCCTTATCCCACAATTCCCAAATCCTATCTTATCATCTGGTCAGCTGCCTAGCTAGAGTAGCAGCTGACATTTGAAAATAATCGAATAGAATTTTCTTTCTCGCTTTTCTCTACAGTACTTTACTGTAAGAATTTCAGTTGGGAAATCGTTTATCTGATTTTATCGTAATACTTAATGCGTTTTATTGTTAAAATATCGAAAGAGGGTGGTGTGTCCAAACTTTTAATTTGAAAATCTTCCTTCGTTCGGTTCAGAAGTAAATTCAGCAAATTTATTTTAATTTTATAGTTAATATATAAAATATGAGATTACTATGGTAGATATTTTGAACGAAATTAAAATAAGATACTTAATTTAATTCCAGAATCAACTTTCAGAAATAATATAAACTATTTTCACAGTTTAATCATTGTTAAAATCTCTCTAAATAAGTGTTGTGAATTTATTTTAAATCATGCATTTTAAATATAATGTTTTTTTTTATTCAAGCTCAAATATTCTGCAAAAATATGTAATAATATATTTGTAGGTACTGTTAAATAAAGGTTGAATGCATGTGTGTATTATCATATTGATAGTAATTAATGCACAAAAAGTTTTTAAGTAATTTTTAGTAAATATTAAGATGTTAGAAGTCACTAAAATTTACTAAATGTTTTTTAAAAATGTCCACAAAATCAGAAAGAATCATTTTATTGATAGTAGGAAAACAACGTAAAAAATTTTCAAAATTTTATTTAGATTGTGCTTTATTTTTTTCACATTGATTATGGAATCAATGTATAAACATAAATCTATTTAAATTAAAACTATCTAAGTGATTAAAATAAAACTTAGAGTTTTTAAGCTTTTATGATTTTCTTCGGAAATCCATGTTTAAAATTTTTTTATGCATTTAATAAACATATCACCTGTATTTTAGCCTTGTATTCCGTACTTTTTGAAGAAATTCTTAGTAGACTAATTTTTTCTCTCATTTTTTTAAATCTTAAATTATTTATTTGATATTATAATAAAGCAACAAATAACTTGCACAAATAACACTGCAATTAAATCTTCTGCAGCTTTTCTTTACGTCCATCATTAAAGTATCTAAAGAACATATTTGTAGTCAGATAAACAACACAAGTTCGTTCTACGCCTGATAACCGTTATCAGAAGATTGTAAGTGCAGAAAATGTTCTCTTTTGATCCGTCTGAAAAGAAAAAAACAATGCATTTAATTTTTAAGTACTATTCAATTTTGACTGTGAAGACGAATTTTTCACTAATTTTATCCTTCTTGATGTAAAGATTTATTTTCCCCAAACAGAAAATTAGAAGCTACACTGTAAAAAATTCCGAATCAAACTATAGTAAAAAGCACCGGTACTTTTTACCGTAAAATCCATTTTACCAGAACATGTTTCATAACAAAAAATCTGATATGCCGTAATTTGTATAGTAATAATTACCGTAAAATTACTGCATCACTGTAATTAAATAAATATTACTATAAACATTACGGTTAAGAAAGACTTTCATTTGTACTACTAATTCTAACATTTCTAATAAAGAAAGTTAATAAGTTTAAAGGCAGTGTTTAAGGATTAAAGGACAGCACACCAAATGAAATGATCACCCATGTTAAAATCTACCTATACAATTGCTTGAAATCATAACATTATTGGTAATCAAAACAGCAGTTTTCAGACGAACGATTTTTAATTTAGAGGGGTTTTTTTTCGAACTAAATGAATTTTTATTATTTATAATCTTTCATTATTTATATTATTTCTGTCTTTATTAATAAGGTTAGCCACTACGCTTCCACCATTTTTTCAAATTTTAACATTCGGCATGTCATTAAATATTTTCATAATGTTTTAAATCATTCAAAAGAACAGACTGTTTTGTTCTACCAGAATCAATTTTTTTTTTCATTTCGAGTTTTTCACATCATCCAAATAAAATGTCATACTGAGAAAAATGAAAATTTTCGGCACCTTCTATTTGCTTTTAATTTAAGTTCTACAGTGTCAAAAGCTGCTCGTGACATTTATGCTATACACGTAGAGGGTGCTATATATGAATAAACTGCTCGTGATATGCTCGTCAATTTTAACAATTGAAATTTTGAGCTCAAAGACGCTCTTTTCTTAAAACGCTGTCCAGTTAATTTACGTGGAGAGCGTTTATATCAGCTTTAGCACGAAAATTCGCATTAAACGAAGAGGAAATTGGCAGTCAAAATTGAATAGTCTACATTTCAAGCCTTTAAAATATTTTAAAAACAGTGGAATCTTTGTTTAGAACCTAATAGAATATACGGATCGCTAAGAATTTTAATAGTAACTTCAAAAACATTCAAATCATAACATTTCCTCTTACTTCAAAATAAAATATTGTAATTTTTTTTTTCAATGTCTATGTAGAATAAGATGATTCAGTGTAATACCGTCAAGAGTGAATTCCTAAATGAAAGAATATGTAGATATTCAAACCAAAAATTTAGATAGAGAATCGTTTGGAAAAAAGATGTTATTTTTAAAACTATTATCTTCGCATTAAGTGGGGTTACGAATTACGTAAACGAAAAATAAAGTTAATTACTGAATGAACAAAAAATTTTCTTTGATTAGAAAAACTTAAACTAATAAAGGAGATAAAAAAAACTATGAATTTAAGTGAAAAAGGAATAAAAAATTGTGCAGAAAAAATTAGACGAGACGTAATAAGAACATCAAAGAGGAAAAAAGCTACCATTTACATTCAAACTATATTCTCTAACTAATCACCTACCCAGAGTAATTATATTAATCAGATTACCTTAATAGTGCAATGTTTCATAAAAAATACAGGAAGCCAAATATTATGTAACTTTCTTGAAGTTAGTAAAGAATTTGTTACAATGAATTATTTTTCTTTACGCAACTAATTACACCGAGAATCACTTATATGCTCGGCATAACCTTTTCACGGCATACTAACTCTAAATGCAGTGAAACATTTTTACAGATAAACGTAACTAATTGACGTTCACTGACATTTATATAATTGTTTTCACTGCATATTAATTTTGTAAGCTAGTTTACATTATTTTCCACGGCATATTAACAACACACCATATAAAACAGCTTTACAATCTAGCAAAATAAACTAAAGCACAATGATAAACGTTGTAAAAAAGCCATGTATATTCCCCCCCCCCCACTGTTTTCGGGACTTCGTGGACAATTTCAGCAGTTTTTATAGATAGACGTAACATATTGATGGGCACTAAGGTTATAGGTTTCATAGAATATAGATTCTGCATGCAGCTATATATTTTTCTTTTCACGGCATATTTACTCATCAAACAATAAAACAATTTTATAAACGAAAAATATAAACTCAAAAACAAAAAAATTAAGTGTTGTATTATTCCTTTTCATTATATTATCACTTTTCTATCAGTAACAGTTTTCCAGATAAACGTAACAAGATGAAGGTCACTGACAATTGTATAATTGCTCACACAGCATCTTAATTTTGCATGCAGTTTATGTTATTTTTTGTAAGGCACATTAACTATGCATGCAGTGACAAATAAATGTTGAGAAGACTGAAATAAAACATCTTTGGATGGAATAAACGTTTGTAATTTAAATATTTCCTTTCAAAGTCTTCAATTTTCATTTAATTTTGCTAAGCGTATACAGGCTGCGTAGCCAAATCTTTCAACAAAAATAAGCACCTTTTAAGTACTTTTTAAGCACTCAAAAAAAATGTAAGCACTATATACATTAACAAAATGCAAAATAATTTTCAAAGACTTTAGATGATCATAAGAAAATAACTAGTTCCTGACAAAGAACATTTTTCTTGATTATATTAGCCGTTATAAAATGATCGAGAGATTTTTCTGTTCGATATCGAAGGGTGGAAAATGAAGTCTGAAATTGAGAATATCTTACAAAATGCAGCAGAATTGCACATGAGAAAGCAATAATCTAACCGAACCCCGCTCAGTAGCCGCTCATACGGACTCGCAAGTATTTTCATGAAACAAGTAAAATGATTGGCGCTTTCATACGCTATGGACCGACTGTATGCCGAAATAAATTGTAAAAACGTTGAATGGAACAAAGTGAAAAGCACGCTTTTGCATAATACGTGGCGAAAATCGACATGGTAACGAAAAAAAAAATCTCATTTTTGAAAAGGGAAAATTAAGCACTTTTTAAAAACACCCAATGAAAAAAGCACCTTTAAGGACTTTTAAATAACGAAAATCGAAAATAAGCACCTTTAAGTACTTTTTAAAAACGCTACACACCATGGTATAACAGCAAGTATTTCATATATAGTTTTCATTACCTGCAGATTTTTCTTTTTTTTTGGGGGGGGGTAATATTTTTGATTAATAAAATGATACCTTTTAATTTGATTAATAGTGGTATCGCTTTAAAAATAATCAATCGCTATTAATCAATTTTATTTCTGATTTGTATCTGTATTTTTAATTCTCATAAAACTTTTTCCCACGCGTTTTGATCGCCTTTATTCAAGCAAACAGTTATAAAATAAATAATTTGAGTAAACTTTTAAGAACTTTTTAAGAAATACATGGAAAAATAAATCGAGGGAAATTATTTGCTAAAATAATCTTTATCGCGTTTTAAGATAAACACTGAAACCGGTTCTTTCTAGTTTTGAAAGATAAAAAATAATTTTCGTTGCTTAGCGACAATTTATCGTGATGTGCCGACAGAATTTATCTGAACATTTGTATACAATTATATTTTCAGGGTCTTTCTTATCTTTTTTTTTTAAAAAAAATATTAATTTGATTATTAAGAAGAAAAAAACAATTTTTGCAAATCATTAGAGCGTAGCTCACCGAAACTATTTTTTAACAGATAAAATTTGTAATTGTTTTTAAAAATTATAAATTTTGTTTTTAAAACAATACCATATGTAAATATATATAAGTATTACGTTTAAACGAAACTTTCTGTCATTTTTTTTTAAATGACAGAAAACAATAGATGACAACAAAATAATAGATTTACCTTTTTGTCTGTCACACTCTAATGGGGCTTCACAAATGTGATTTATAGAAGTGTCTCCTTTCTCCACTGGATTGAGACTTTCAATTTAATTTTTTGATCCAATAAACTATACATTATATATAAGAACAAGTTAAAGTTTGGAATTAAATTCACTTCGAAATTATTAAAAAATATTTCAATTTAATGCATCAAAAAAATTTATAAATAAATTCTAGAGTGATTTGTTAATATATAATTATAGATTATACAGCGAAAATAAAACGACATTTGTTTTAAAAATATCGGCTTGAAAATAATGTGTAAATCAATACCAATATGAGACTTAATTGTAATGAAAATGCCAGCAAATTTTAATTACATTATCCTTCAATTTTATATTTAAAAAAAATAGATAGCAATTTTACAGGTTAAATATTTAATAAATTCATTCTATACAGGCGAATGATGATAATATACAAGTTGCAATAAAATGTCTAAAAAATAATATAAAAGAACAAAAATCATGCTAGTGAATTTTAAAAGTTCTTTCGTTCATGAGTTTTTCTCAAACCCCACAAGCACAGCAGCATGCGACAATTTTTTATCAAGTTTTATACTTCCAAACACAGCTCAGCAATCCATCTCCATAGTAAAATGCTGGAGGTAGGATTTACAAGAAGAAGAAAAATCGTCTTAGTATCACGTGACAACGTTCTTCGCTACCAAGCCGCAATCAACATTAGACAAGGCATTAGAGTTATTACTTCTTATAAGTCACAAGTAAATAATAATATAATCGCATAAATCTTAGCTACATTTTTAATTCCAGTATGAAATAATAAAATAAGAGAATGAGGAAAATTAGATAATTTTTTAGTCTCTATTCAATTAAAATGTTAAACTTAGATGTTCTTTGCTTTCTCAATGAAATTATCTCGTTGTCGCCAAAAAGATACTTTTATAAAACTATAGTTCCGGTACTACTTTAAAACAATTTTTCTCAAAGAGTTTTAAACATTTTATTTCGACTTTAGTAAATAAAAAAATATGTAGGGGAGAGGGGGGCACATGTGAACAAATTTTTTTATTTCTTCACTTTTCGAAAAATATCATCAATTTTTCATAGTAAAAAAGTCCATATGTTTAAATAGTCTTTTCTTTGTCTCGTGGAATTTTTTGAGATTTTTCAATAAAATATTTCTTTACTTTATAATATTTTAGAAAAATGACTTCAATTGTTCACATGTGCCCCTATTGGGGGCACATGTGAACAGGCCTGGGGCACATATGAACAAGATTAAAAACACAAAGCAATCATCATATTTCAAAGAAAAAAATTCTTTAATATAACAGATATAGATACG